CTATAACGGGGAAAACTGAGGGAGTAAGCATAAGATAGATAGGTGTAGCCGTTACTGTGTGTGTAGCGTTGTAGCGCTCTGTTTGGATCTTCATCTGTTTCTGTGGCGTGTTGGACGGGGAAACGACACCGACATGACACCAGCCACACGCTGCCTCTCTCACTCACACCAACCCCTTCTCTCATCATTCTTACAGTAACATCACTTTCTCTTTCCATTACCTTTTCTTCTTTCATCTTCCTATCAGGTAACACAATTTACTATAAATGTACATACATCTTAATTAATTAATTCAATTACATTAATTGAAATAAGAGTTTCTTAAATTATTTCAAACATTTTACTTTATAATTCAAAATATACAAACTACTCTATTTTTTTATTAATTTATCAAAGAATAAATTTCAATATGCATCATTTTACTTTTGATATAATTAACATAGGTTCTAAAATAAAAAAAAGTCTAAATTATGTAAAACACTCTGTTTAATCAAGGTTTTAGTTGAAAATAGTTTTTTTTAATAAACACTAGTATAAAAAACTTTTTCATAAAAGTTAATGAAAGAAAATTTTGACTTTTATGAAAATAATAAAGGCTCAAAGGTGATTGCGTCAATTGCTTCCTTAATTTGAGTGTGTAGTTATCATTATTCCACTTTTCATTCATCTTTCTTCACTCACCAATGCCTGTGATCATGTAACGCTATTAATTACTCCCACTTTTGCAAAGTTACAAATATAAAACCCAAGTAATGTTAATTAATTATACTGTTACAGTTCTTAAAGGCACAAATCATATATACAGCTGTATACACGATTCGTGTGACTTCATGTTTGGGCATCATTATATTCATCTTTGGCCAGTGTTATGCCAATTTCTTGCACATATCTCGGAACTTCGAAAACAAAGAATGAACATATATGATTCTTTAAACTTATTTTTCACAGAATCATTGTTTTTTAAATGTTTCATGGAAATTTAATTAGCTTGGATTTTTCTGTATAGTGGCCTAGATTAATTCAAGTGTTGCGCTTATATTCATGGTTGAGGTCAAAAGGTGGATACAAAGAAGGGTCAAAGAGTGTTACGTGTTGTTGTGGATGAAACAGAAGAGGGGTTATTTTCAGGGACATGCATGCTTTCACTTCCATTTTTTGTGAAACATTAAAATTGTAGTTTGGGATCATTGAGAAGAAAAACCATTTTCGTGCATGTCACTAGATGGGTCTCTTTTGTTGAAAGATAACAATGATTTGTCACTATTTTGCTGAGTCGAGAAGTGCCATGTTATCCAACGCATTCTGCGTTAAGGGTATCTTAACGTGTGTTTTTGGATTTACATTGAATAATAGTAAACACTAATACATCGCATGCAAAAATTAAAACCAGATCAATCAGTTTATTATTAAAGATTTTTTATTTATAAAAAACTGAACTTAGAACTTTGTTTAAGAAATATCGAATCTCTTGTATCAACTTTTATTTAAAATTTTCAATTTTGATACATTTAAAGTAAGCAATATTATGTAGTTTTTAATAAAATTTTGATATATTTAATTTTTATAATGTATCCTTCATCATATCTAAAGTCACAAGCTGCTTATTAAATAAGAAATTTAGCACTTAAATGCATTATCAGACTTCATTTTTATCACCTTTACTATATTGAGACAACTATCCTTTAAGAGTTGAACAAAATTCAATATTTATTTGAGAGATAGTGATGGTTTTTGGGAGTGTGATATGCAGAAAAGTGGTAAAATATTGAGTAAGAAGAGCACATCCTTCATATCATAGATGCACACTTTTTGCTAAGATAATAATTATTCATTCACTGTTTGATGCCTTTGATTTATGAATTCAATTATTTATTTATGAGAAAAGGTTTGGTCCACTGCTTCTAGTGCACAACCAAACCCATGATTCTACTCCTCCTTCAGTCACCTATTTCTCTTTACTAGTCCAACTAATTCAATCCAATAAGTACCCATGGGACCCTACTAAGGGGATTTCAAACAAGTTAATACAAAATACTTTGTAATTTTTTTTAATAGATTTTTACGTTTATTTTAATATTATTTATTAAAATAAAATTTATAATAAAATCATGTTATAAATCAATATGTGAACTTTTTTTTTATTAAATAAGTGTTTAGTCAAGTTGTTTATCTTGATATATATTAGATATATAATTTACCCTTAAGAAGTTAATGTTTAGTGTTACATTATATTTAATAATTTTTTAAAATCTTGGCAATTATATATAATACACACAATAACAATGCATTAAGCCTTTTTCCATTAGATGGAGTTAGTTACATAAAATTTATGATGCTACAAGAGTTTATCATTTGTAAAGTGTGAAAAAAAAAACTATTTTTCAATCTCTTTTGATAATTTGACTTATAGTTCTATTTGATCTACCTCTGTATCTGTCTAATTATTATATTATCTTTCATTTGATCAACCTAATTTGTCATTTCTTTAATAATTAATGAATTATATATAATTCATTAAATAGTACGATAGTGCCGTATTAAATGTAAGTGTTACGTCCAATTAAAGTATTGACTTTACTATAAATATATCAGAGTATTATTTATCCATAACTCAAAATTAATTTAAATTTTAAGCCTTATTATCGTTAGCCAATTTTCGCTAGAATAATTGATAAAAGAAAAAAAAATCAGCACGATTGATTTGACAAAAAAAAAAGTGATAATCGTATATGTCTTTTAAAATGACTCGAAAACTATGAAATCCGTGTAAGAAATGGCACAATTAAAATACTTAGAAAATGATTAAAAATAAAAAAGTTGCTTAAAAAGCAACAGATAATTTATTTGAAATAAATTTCTTAAAATTTCAATTCAACTGAAAAATATTTTATCGTCGACCCATAATTTTATGAGACTTACATGTACAGTCTTTTCTTAGTTTATTCTTATGCTTTGCACGCATACTAATTATTTTCTTATATGATATTCGTTAAATGATTATTATCTCACCTTTATTATAAATTTATTTATTTTATGATTTAAAAATGCATTAATGCTGATTATTATAGTTAGACTTATGCCCTCTCAACCAATATCTTCACTAATTAATAATGGTGGATCTAATTATTTTTTTTAAAAGAATAATATTACCATCTTACCTAGGCTGTACGAGAAATTTGTGGTGCACGTGACCAGTGATCACATGACACGTGTACTTTAGAAAAGGCCAATGAGACAAACCGCATCCACGTCATCGCCATATATTAGAAAAATAGAAAATGACAAAAACCTTTTTTTTTTTTTTTCGTGTGACTGACTGAGTACTTTCCCACTCTGCATTCAGTTGGGGGGGGGGGGGAGGGGGTTCCGCCACGTGTTGCGGGTGACATTGGCTGTGGGTGGGGTTGGGTGACGTTAACTCAACGCAACGACGCAAGCAATTCCACTTCTTCAAGCATGGACGTTCCAGATTTGATTTGCGAACATTGAACGGGTGTGATCTTCCATACAAACCAAATGATGTCCCTTTTGCTTTGTTCGCACGCGAGGCGAGCCTTAGTCTCTGCCGTGGGCCACTGCTTGCCGTGGCTCAGCTGCCTCAGCTCACGATTAGACATGTGTCGGTCAAGTTTCTCTAATTTTAGATTTTTTTTTATAAAATATAAACATATTTAAGTATTTTTAAAAAAATTGTAAACTAGATTATTAGTTGATAATTGGTATTTATGGTTGGTGGATTAATTGAGATTGTTAATTTGATGGAGACATGGTATATATTGTCACGGACTAATTTTATGTAACCAATAAAATTCAACACTATTCATAAATAATTGTATCTTTTAAATAAGTTAGCACAGATTGAATTCTTGTTGTGCATATGAAAAATATTTTATCAAGTGAGACAAAATTCATTTTATTTTTTTTCTATTAAATACTTTTGATAAACATTAAAAAAGAAACTAATTCTATTTCTATGTAAAAAAAATATAATGATATTTTAGAAGAAAAAAAAGGTGTTGATTTGTTTATTACCATAGGAATTTTTTTCGCTAAAGAATAACCGCGGTTCTCCTCTTTTATTTTGTTTATACTTTTTAATTACCTTCTTACTTTTGAATGTATGGAAGTGGGTGATGGGCAATAGGCATTGATTTGTCTCTTTTAAACAGGAAATCTACCTCATAAGAAAAAGAACTGAATTATAATTGTTAATGACAACTTAAATTTTAATCATTTTATTGTTTGTTATACATATTATATTTTTATTATCATATAAATTGTTACTTTAGATTAATATTATTATTTTATAGATATATTGTGAAAAATTATTCAAAATTTATAATAAAATTTTAGGTATATCCTAGGATATAGTTTTCCTTAGCTTTAAAATTTTCAGAAACATCTAGACAAGTAATGTCATTCAGTTTTGATATTGACAGTACTTGGAGTTTTAACTATGGTTATTTCTCATAATCTCATATAATATGCTCTTAATATGTACTGATTCCTAAAGTAAGTTAACATAAAATGAATCACGTATATTTGTATTGAAGTTAAATTCATTTAAAGGTAATTTTTAAAACACTATAAATTATAACTTTTACAATAAAATGTGATTTAAGTAAAAAAACTTCGATAATGTGTTCTCTCGTAATAGAATATTGCAGATGCTATGAATATTTTCAACGGAAAGATTTTGTGGGAGTGCCTTAAATCCTTAAATGTGTGATGTTATCGAAGGCTAATTTATATTATGTCATAACTAAAGTTATTTAGTTTGGGGAAACAAAATATCAATTGCCATCCAGATTCCAACCAATACTTGTAGAATGTTATTTTTACCTATGTTTTTTTTTTTTATAATGATATAAAATATTTACAAAAAAATAAGATAAAATAGATAAAGTGACTTAAAATTTTTGAAAAATAGAAAAATGATTGTAATTGATATTTATCCTGAATAGATTAAGAATACAGGTTAGAGAGAGAATGCGGTATTGTGATTCTATTTGAAGTCTGAGCTTGTGGTCACCCTCACGCGGATAAACTGAGTGAAGATTAGATACATACATAGCTGTTCTTTATCTTTGTCAAGATTTTCATACTCTTCAAATATTTATTTCCCCTTTGATCTTTAATGCTACATGGTTTCCCCCCTACCCAGTTTGTTTAATCTGTGTGCTTTTTTGAGTCACTATAATCCTCCACATCTTAGATAGAATAGAAGGTTCAAATAAGCTCTCTGCATTTGGCACTTATCCATGACCTTGTAACCTTTTTCTGTCTCTCAACCCTGCAAAACAAACTCTCTGAAATTGTTTGTAGATGTGATTTTGGTGTGTTATGACTAAAATCCATATCAAGGTCTGAAAAAAGCATATCCAAACTTTTTGTCCGCATTCTACTTTGTGTTCAGTGGGGGTTCCTTTTTGCCACTTCACATCCTTCAAAAGCTAACAACCGTTTGATCTTAGTATACCAACCACACCCTTAAGCCTTTGAATGCCATTTTCCACTCATATCTTAATTAACTTGACACCTCTCTTCCTAAAAACCACATACAAAGCCTCAACCCCTTCAAAGGTTTCCACAGAACTGTCATAAAGTGTTTGAAATTTGAGTCTTTTTAAGGCATAGAAAAGGATGCAAGACCCAACGGCATTCCATCCCATGAAGCCCCAATTCCCTGAACAAGAACAACTCAAATGCCCACGTTGTGAATCCACAAACACCAAATTCTGCTACTACAACAACTACAACCTCTCACAGCCACGCCATTTCTGCAAGAACTGTAGAAGGTATTGGACAAAAGGTGGTGCTTTGAGAAACATCCCAGTTGGGGGTGGAAGCAGAAAGAGCACAAAACGTTCATCAACCTCCAAACGCGCCACACCATCATCATCATCATCACTCTCTTCTGCAGCCCAACCTGGAGCTCCAGAGGCTGACCCGACCCGGGTTTACACCAACCCGGTTGATCAAGACCAAAGGGTGTTAAGCATTGGTGGGAGTTTCAGTTCCCTTTTGGCATCGAATGGGCATTTTGGGGGCCTTTTAGAGGGCCTGAATTCAAATGGGTCAAGTCTAAAAATGGTGCAAATGGGTGAATTTGGGGAGGATGTGAGTTGTGACCCAGTTGTGAATACGGATTCGGGTCCAAATCAGATGCAGAGTAATGGCAGCTCAGAGAGCTTTCTGGGCATGCAAAATGGTGATTCAAGCTGTTGGAATGGTAGCCATGGTTGGTCTGATCTTGCAATATACACACCTGGCTCCAGCTTTCAGTAAAAAGAATTGATCCTTTCTGGTTTAATCCTGCTTTTCAGTTATGCTGATTGTTCTTTTATATATATATATATATACATATATAGATATATAGACTCAGAAACTGGTTGTCTAAAGAGTTATATAATTTGTTCAAGCTTAAGGACAGCATGCTGTTATGGAGGATCATTCACCACAAGATCACAAAAGCAGCATCCTTTAGGTAAAGGCTTCTTTTTGTTTTTACCTTTTTTATATTTATGTTTGTGATTGGTATCGTTCAATTTTACCAATGGTGAAATTTGGAAAAGTAAAAAAAAAGGAAGTCATTTTTTGCGGGGATAGAGCATAGGGATGTGAAATGTTGTTATATAGTGACAGTGGTCATCACATGTTTGGTGTATGTTTTTGCATAGCTTTTGAAGCATCCTTGGATATATGGAAGTTTACATGACAAGTTGTTGTTGTGCATAATGTTTAGATATTTAAAGCAATGTGGGGATGACATGGGGAAATCCCAAAATACACTGTTTGAAGTTGTATCTTATTTGTGCCTTATCAATGGAGGGCCTGACAACTGACACCTTGTTTCTTTGCTATTAAGTCTCTATCTTGCTCATTGTTTTACCACTTATCATTCTCATTCAAAACTTAATGGATTGAATTCGGAGTGTTATTTATTTAATTAACTCCTTAAAATTCAAATTTATGGCTTAGGCTATTCTTTCAATGCATTTATACCAAATACGTGCAATTTGTGTACATTCTAGCTATTGGCATATGTTTAGTCAATGGGTGGCTAAAATCCCTCCAAATAATGCACCAAATTCTACCCTTAATGTGCTCCCATAACTAAATTCAAGTTGATTTGATTGTCTATTCTTTTATGGATGTGTGAGATCATTTTAGTTCGCAAGTGGTCTCCACATAGCATGATGTGTTTAAGATGGACCATTGTGTGTGTGATCTTAGTGTTACCATTTCACATGTGTGTGGTTGCCAGCTCAGTTTCGCCAGAGATTCATGCATCCATTTAATTTACAGGAGCTGTCCAAAGTTAGTTAATAAATAGCTAGCAACAAGATCCATCCTCGGAGTATTTTTAAAATCCAAGTAAAATTAAAATAAATTAAAAGAAAAATAGTTAAAATTTTGTATATTATATATATATATATATAAAATACAAATTTTAGTTTAATTTAATATATAGGGAAATTGAAGAAAGAAAAATGGCTGGTCAAATACTTGGACAAAGAAAAGGAGAAGAGTTATTTTCAAGGTAGATATGGGAGCATCTAAGTTGAATTTTCTGTACTTAGAGGATTACTGAAAGAAAAAACTGTGATTTTGAAAAGAAATGGATAGACACACAACATTAAAAGCTCTTGAGATGTCAATGGTTCGCTTACCAGTACCCACTTTGAATAAGAAGGGGAAATGAATTAGAACAATCGATGGTGAATTTCAAACTTTGATAACAATGGACATGCATGCAAGCTTTGACTATCAACAATACACAATATATGCCTTAACTTCCTCCCTATAATAAGTGTAATCCACGTCAACATTCATCATTTTTTCTTATATTGTCATCTTCCAAATTAGTTTAGATTTTGCTATTGTAAAGAATAGTAATGCAACATGTTATGTAAGCTTTAATTTGTCATTACTTTATTTAAGAAACACGTGTTTAGCATTGAGATTATTTAATACAAATAAATAATTATTTATCTAAAGTAATTTTATTTGAACAAAGGTTTTATGTTAACATATATATGAAGTATTTTTTTTCCTGCATAAACAAATTGTTCTAGTTGGCTCACAGGCCAAGTATATACTTTTTCTATTAAAATCATAGTACTTAGTGTACATGCTTATTTTCAAATAAAAATAAGAAAATTAAACAGGTTAAGAGACAATTTAAAAATTTCTTTGATTAGGTTGAATAAGCAAATAAAATATTATATCATATATATATATATATATATATATATATATTATTTAAGAACATATTAGTATGTTAAATTTGATTATCTTTATTTTTAAGTATGAGTATTTTAAAAATTATTTTAAATGACAGTGTTTTTATTTATTTATTTATTTATTTTATATCACATGACTTCTCGAGTATTTAGTAGTTAATTTTTTTATTTCTTTTAAATATCATTCTTATATTATAATTTCAAATTTAATTTACTTTAAAATTTAAATATTGATACATTGTATCTATAATTCTTTTAGATAAATTAAAATTTAAGATTATTTTAATTTTAATTAATTTTAATTTTAATTTAATTTTTAAATTTTGATAGACCATATTAATAAAGATAAATTTTATTTTTGAAATCAATCTTTATTTCAATTTCTAGATTTTTATATTTTTCTTTTGTAAAATTATCTTTATATTTTGTTAATGAAAAACAATAAAACTACGTTATTCATAGTTTTAATAAAATAAAAATACAAGAAATTGAATATGTCGTTAGGAACTTTACAGAGAAAGTAGAGAATTAAGCGAAGGAAGAAAAAAAAAATACAAAAAAGAGAGAATGCATTTAAAAAGGAAACGGATCTGTTTATTTTAAGAGCACTTTTTTAATACTTTCTCTTTTTAATGATTCTTTTAAAATATTAATTTGACAAGTTTAATTATTAAGTTATATTATATTGTTTTGATGATCATATATATTAATTTTTAGACAATTTTATGGATGAAATATGCAAAAACGTAAATTATATAAATTTATGTTTTATATGAACTTTTAATTTAACAATAGCATATATATATATATATATATATATATATATATATATATTACGTGGAATAAATTACACAAAATATACTCCTAAAATAAATATATAACTACCTTTAAAAACATAGTTTTTTTTAATAATAATTTACATTTTAAAGTATCTTTTGATTAGCATATTCTTAAAAAGAAGAAAATCAATTCTTCTAAGTTCTATAAGACCATGGACGCCACAAAATAAGTATATTGATAACAAATTTATCATTTAATTCTTTTTTATTTTAAAAAAATCACACAATTCAAGATACGTAACATATAAAAAGATAATGCACATTAATTACTAGTAATTTGTACATCTTACCGTATTTTTGTGATATTATGTTATCTTACTTTGAGAAGATAATCTAAATCTTAATAAGTCAAGTATTTAAATTTAAATTAATTTATAACATAATTTGAGATATAAAACACATTTCTTCATAATTAATTCATATATATATATATATATATATATATATTATTTAATAAAAGAAATCAGCATCTGATAAGAATAAAAAGAAATTAGATCAAAACCTGATAATCAAGTATATCGAATATCATTAACTAAGAAAATTTTGAAATTTAACAGGATTATTCTATTAAAATTGGGAAATCTAGAGTGTATATACGTAATTTAGCAAGATTTTGTGTAACTACATTGGAAGACAATATGAAGCAACGTGCATCAATATCTGAAGGATAACTCTCATCACAACTAAGATATGTTCTCCGATAACTAAGGTAAGAAAAGATTGCCAAAATAGCCAAACAAAACCACCATATAATGAAACTTAATGAAATAAAAGTAGTGGAAATAGGGTTGCACCATTATTAAGAAAGCGTTGAGAGCAATATTATGTTGCATGATGCTGATGAGGAAGAACCCTCCAAGTCAGGAAGCAATCTTTGTAGCCAAGACAGAATGGAGAAGAACATGGAAATTGATAGCAGTCATGGAAAAGCTCCTACTACATCATCAAGCGAGTCACCACCAAGAACAATAGAATTATTATGCAAGTTTTGTAATAAGAAATTCACAAATAGCCAAGCTTTGGGTGGACATCAAAATGCCCACAAGGATGAAAGAGCAGCAGCAAAAAAGCAAAAGATTCTTAGCATGGCTTCTGCTTACAAAGACTCATCGCTTGATTATTCCACCTTTGCTTCAAATCAAGCTTATGGATTTGGTGGCAGAACAATGGGGTTTCATCAAACTAAGCCTCATGACTATAAATGGCCTCATATGCAACTCAAACATGACTCTTGTGATGATCCATGGCAAAGGCACCACATTATGAATCGTTCTCAACCCACTTTGCATCTCTTGCAGACTTTGATGGCCGGTGGGAGTGGATTTCATCAACACCACAAATCCGATCAATCTGTATTTTTTACTACATCTAGTGGAAGACCACAAAATTTAGGGTTGCAACCACATTTGTTACATCCTAGTTTATGTGACAATGAGAAGTTTGGTCAAGCAAGCAATTTTCCAGTAGGATCTCAAAATGCTAGCTTAGAGAGACATGATTTCAATGTCAAGCCTTTACGAGATAGTGAGAATTTGGATCGAGCAAGCGATTCTTCAACAAGACCTCTAAATGCAAGTACTGAGGGACTTGATAATATTTCTGGCCATGTAAGTAATTCTCCTTCAATGCCTGTGAAAGGAACTGTAGAGGGGCTTGATTTGACTCTCAAGCTTTAAATTCCCTAGCTAGTTAAAATTCATAATATCTAGTATTCACTTCTCGTAAATTCACTAGAATTATGCTAATATTGAGGAACTTGGTGTGTTTACAAATTATTATTACTTCCAATCTCTATTTTAATTTATCAATAGGTTTAGGCTTTTTTTCATTACATTATAGGAGAATAGATAAAATTAGGATTTTATTTATATTTAGTTAGGTGTTTATTTACTTTATTAATATGATTTTTTTTTATAATTGATGTTTTTCTTTTCTAGTCCTTACTCATCCGCGTTATATAGTTATTTATCTATCAACAACATACCAATTTACGAGGTAAAAAATTTGACATTATATATTTCTGAAATATTAAATTGAAAGAAATTTAATAATAGTGGCAATGACTTACATATACTCGATAAATCTTATGAACCTTGACGTACTTTACGGATGTGATAAGCACTAGAGATGTTAAAATTTAAAAAATATTTCAAGTATCATCCTTTTTACACAATATTCCACCAATTGTCTTTGAACCTTTTTCTATGCATCAACATCTTCGTTTTTATAGCTGCATGTGCCACCATCCTTGCTTTACCTTGAATTGAGCTCGATCACCGTACACTTGACATTAGGCTAAAACAATATTGATTTGCTACTACACGTAATTTTGTTCAAATTTTATAACATGTTTGTTTCCACCAACATTAGTTGGATTAATATGCATTATGGGTAAAGCCAGGGTAATACCTATAATTTTGTAATTCTTATAATTTTAATTGTTTCTAGCATTCAATTTTATTTTTTTTTGGGTCAACGATACTCAAAATTTTAAGATTCGATCAAAATGTATGATCGAAGTTCTTGGGAAAGTTGACATTCTTGCACCCTAAAGCAAGTCTCAAATTTTTTTTGGGTTCATCAGATAATTGGGACATTAAGAGGCCCAAAAATGTATATGCCGACTATGATCTTGAATGGACATAGCAATTCGCGTTACTTTTCAACCACATTCTATTGACAAAAGTAAAACCTCCCAAATGGACCAAAAAAAAGAAAAATAAATAAATAATGTGAGAATAAAGAAAGTGAAGAATTATCCTATTTTCATTTTATTATTCGATTATCGATAAAAAAAAATATTCGTTTTAAGTATCTATGTAAGAAATAATTACTTTCATTGTTTTAAGGACAAATATTCCATGGCCCATATACTGAGAGTTAAATAGATAAAGACGAATCCAATTCAAAGACATAATTTTGACGATGTTTAATAATACTGAGAAAAATAAAAGTTAAAGACTAAATATAAATATAAAATAAAAAATAAAATTGGAGGAATAAATTACTAATGTTGCCTAAAATATTTGTAAATCGCTGGTAAAGTCATTTTTCTTAATAAATTATTTTTAAAATATTTTAAAAATAAAATTGCAATAATTTATATATTTTATATTTTATTTATATTTCAAATTATTTTTGGAACACGTATCTATAAAATTTAATGCTATGTGAGGAGGAATTTGATTTAGCCACATAAGAGCTAGATTCAACCACCCACACAATAGAAATTTTTTTTAACCATAAATGGGACACCAAAAGGGTCTCTTTTATAAGTGCTATATATATATATATATATATTAAAAATATGTATGTAGAAAAGATAAAATAAATAAAAGATAAAAATAACAATATGCAATATCATATATATTATTAATTTTGAGTGATTTAAATGATAGATCTCGTCCAATCACTTGGTGAGTGAACAATCTCACAATTTTAACGAATTTTTTTATATAACCACTGTTAATTTAAAATGAATTATATTAATAAAACATCTTAATTCAAATTAAAATGATTAGTCCTTTACTTTCTCAGGCTAGAATGGTTAAGGTGCATGGTTTAAGGAATGTTTGTGGAGCATCATCTCATTTCATCAATATATAAATTAAAAGTGACGTTTTCACGATATATTCTCATGGCTCATTTATTTCATTGCATCATTCATTTTATTTTATATTCTAAACGAAAAGAACCCACTTGCACAACTACGTATCACATGAGAGTGCAAAAGGAAGAAAATGAATTAAAATTAAAAAAAGTGAAAGAAAAACAATTAAATTTTTATTTCTGAAAGCTAATTTCCTTAAATTTAAAAGAATATTTTTTGAAATATTTATGCATAAAAAGATAATAATAAATAAATAATTATAAATAATCACATATAATATCACAAGGTGTTGCTAGCAATGCTTAAATAAAACAAATTACTTCCATGATTATCAGGAATATATATATATATATGATGACGAAATTAAGGTGTTGCTTTCTCGTAAGAAATTAAATAGTCAATCCCATACTGATGAATGATATCAAGGTTTCGTTCTGTCAATGAAATCCAATGATCATATGTCACATGCATGTGTTTGAATATACATCAACATAGGACCAGTTTGTATATGAATACAAATTTCATTATTTTCATTTCTCATGTACCATGTTTTGGTAACCAATATAAACAGGTTAACAGTTATTTTAATTTTAGTATTTTATTTAACTTAAATTTAATAAATTATAATTTATTAATTATTATATTTAAATTAAATAAAAAACTTAAATAAGATGTAAGAATTTTTCTTATACTCATGCAAATTTTTTCTCCAAACCTATTCCATAGCTATCTATAGCATTGGAAAGAAAAATATAGACCCATCAATTATTGAATTTTTTGAAACTTATCTTTTGTGCTTTCATTTGCCTCTCTTTATGTATAGTATGTTAGTTTATTTGGAATCTGCCTTGGAACATTATATGAAGTAGCTTCTGGTAATTTAAGGTGGGATAAAACACTCCCTTAAAGTTTAAAGTAATATTATATATGATGTACTTAAAAGTAAATCAGTAATAAATAATTTTTAATTCTTTCATTTTATAAACAAACACATTTTAAAAGAATCTTATCCTAAATGAATATACGTGTGGCAATGATCTTTTATCATCAATGGGTTCTTAATTCCATCGCACTTTACCTAACTAAACACCTTTAAATGTCACTCATACTGATGAGAATATGAATATGGCAGAGCAAATGAGTGATGTTGGGGAAAGGTGTTTATGGGTCGAGAATATATATTTTCCAATTAATTAAACTTAAGTTAAAATAATGGATTCCATCAAATAATTGAGTATAATTTAATTTTGAAGTCACAACCTGATGAATTTCACCTAATCTGATTTTTGGGTACTTGATATGCAACCATTCTTGAGGGTAGATAATATTAAAAACAAGAAAGAGGGGAGCAAATCATTGAAGAAGGAAGTTAGCTGATTTTCTTTCTTGCTGGGATTTCATGGCTTCAATAAGAACCCTCAAAGACACGTATGTACATTTCCAAAAAAGCAGAAGAAAACGTGGTTTGATTGCAAAATGTTTAGCATGAACAACCACAAATTGCTAAAAGTTGAAAAGAAAAGTGGAAGATTGATTGCAAATGCTCCATCTGGAATTTCCAACTTTGCCTTAACCGCTCAACATTTGCACTTTGCACTTACCAATGATGCCAAAGCATTGTTTGGTTCCTATAATGTACGTAAGACCGTATTTTCAGTACCACGTGTCTTCTAACGCAACTCAAAATGTGACACTTTGCTTTGCATTTAATCTTAAACTCCTCACCAAATTTCTACCAAATTCTCGAAAATATTACCATTTTTATTTTTGTTTTAAAAATATTTAATTTCATGTTTGATAAAATACCTCGCCATGAACTCAAATTAATTATTTTTAAAAAACTAAATTTGAAAAATATATGGCATCAATATTTTTTTATAAAAATTAAAATAAAAAAGCACACTATCTATAATATCTATAAATTTGAGTTTCTTTAGATTAATAATTATAAACTTTTAATATTTCAAATATTAAAAGATATTAATATTTTTTAAAATAAATTACTAATTTTATTATTTATTAATATAATATTAATAATAAAAAATATCTTTTTAATTTATAAGTGACCCTAAAAATTGCTAAAAGTTTGTATATATTTGGCAAATGAGAATTGCCTCCATCACCGCCATGTCTCAAAATGATTGAAGCAAAAAAACCGAAAGCTAAAGATGATTTATTATTATTTAAAATTATAAAAAATTGAAATTCAAAGCTATATTATTATTTTATGAAGTTATTTAATGTTGTCATCCCTCCTTCTATCATTATTTTTATCAATAGATATGTTAAAGATAGTTACAAAATTAAAATACAAATATTTTTAAATTTTTAAAAATTATAAACAATTTAAAATAAAGTAAATTTATTAATCGTCAATAATTATTTTGAAATGGAAGGAATATTTTCTTTAACGTTTCTTTACCATCTCTTGACATTTTTGAACACTTTGGATGACTTTTATTCTTAGGAGGACAACAGCATAAATGCTTGTTTATTCATGTGTCTGGTGTCTGTCACGCATGTACAATAGTTTTTGTGAAATTTAGTTTATCTTAGTTTTAATTTAATAAATTTCTATCGTTAAGTTTAGCATTTAATAATTTTTTTTTACAATGATGACAATACGAATTGAACTTATAACCTAATGTTAATTATCAAATTTCTTTGTCAATAATTTAGTTCCACTATAGCTTATATCCAATATAATGATAGTATCATAATTGACATTGTTTCAGACCAATGAATTCTTACGAAAAAAAATCAATAATATTTGAATGATATAATTAATAAGAAGTATTTATTTTCTTCTACACTATTATAAAAGAGAGGTCCTTCTTTATTACTTTTGTTAAAAATAATTTTTTATCAACTAATACAATTAATTATCTAATGAATGAAATAATTATCATTTTTTTAAAAACCTAAAAGTTAAAAGAAACCTCATCTCATATTATAGTAATTAAATATGATCTATATATCATACTATTTTAGGGTCTTATTAACGAGTAGAGGTACATCGGTTATGAACTTAATTACTAAATAATTATTAATTATTTAAATACGGTTAGTTAAAAGTTGTGAGGGTAAGATTGAAAAATGATAAAATTTATAAACAAATAAAAAATTCCCAAAGCTCATTTTATTAATATATATATATATATATATATATATATATAATTTACTTAAAATTGATATATTTTGATTGTTATTCATTTAAAGTATTTTTTGAAAATTGCAAACTAATAAAAGGGATAGTCAAGAAAAATATTGGCAAGTATAATGAAATATTTGATTATATATATATTTCTTTAAAATTTAATAAATATGCAAAAGCAAGTTTTACACAAATTTTATTCAATAATAAAAGCTATATTAAAAATATATTATCGATATTCCTCTCATAATAAATTAAATAGCAATAGAAGAGTCTCCCTCCAACCAGAACTTAATTAAGATTTTGAAAATCAGTTTTATAATTGAAGCGAGTATACTCAATCCCTTAATTAATAATATATTACATGTTCATAAATTTTTTCTGGACTGTATAATGTGTAGATCATCTTTAAAATATTTTTCATGAATTCGATTACACTTTTAGTTTTATTTTTTCATGATTAAGTATAAAAAAATCCATTGCATGATAATTATTATCTTTAAATATTTTCTTTTATTTCCATAAAAATGTTTATGTGAATGGAATCTCAGGAACTGGAAACCATTTCAACACCATGTTTCAAAAGAATCTTTTTCTTTCTACAAAAGCTTAAAACTAAGTTAAACTAAAATACTAATCACGATTCACAATATTTTGAATTCATGCAACATGCAAGTACTCAATCATGATCAAATTAATAATCTTATAAATATCAATTTTATTGAAACAATCGAGTTTTTTTATATAAAAAGTCATTAACAAGAACTATCGATATTAAATGTTAAAGTCACTCTCAATACTTACAAATGGCATGTAAAAATAAATTTAATAATAATAAAAAATTGATAATCGCATTCAACATGCAAACTTTAATATAATCTGAATTACACAAATCGAAATCAGTGGATTACTAATTTTAAGACGCAAATAAAGTGGCGGATTTAGAAAATAAAATCCATTAGTTAGTCAAAACCAGCAACAATAAAGACTAAGTGTGATCATTATCTTGATGATATGAGATGTGACGAAGCAAAAAAGAGGGAGACGACAAGGTAATAAAAACATAAAATAGTAATAAGGAACTCTCTTTGCAATGAAAACATGTTTATATAATAAATAAATAAATGTGTGATTAGGTTATGTCTTTGGAAATGTGATTAGCTTAATGTTTCAGCTTTAAGTCGTAATCCATTTGGTCATTGCCTTCAATAACTTGTCAAAGGCAAAAGAAAGATCACTATAACTCTCTCTCTCTCTAATTCCTTCCCCTTTTTTAACAGTTTCTTCGATGCGTATGTAAAGGTACATAAATTTATTATATTTAAATTTTTTAGCTGAACTTGAATTTGCTTTTACTAATTGTCAATAACATTTTTTTTATATTTTTATATTTTTTATTAAATATAAAAATATAATCGTAAAACATAAACATAATTTGTTGTTCAGAATACTGTGATGGTCAAGAAAATAAAAATAAATAATTTGGAATGTAAGAAGGTTGTTGACAGCATTGTTTCCAGGGGACCTTCGAAGTTTGAATTTTGACCACTGAATTTGCAAAGCGACAAAGTTAAATAAATGAAATACACTTCAATTTGAGCTCGAATTTTCATGAGCACATGCTTTGCGATCAACTTAACAACCACAGAAAAATCCCCAAAATTTGACAAGTGTTTATTGGTTTTATTTTTTAAAATATATTCTTATTTATTAATGAAGAGACTAACTTAAATGAATCTATTATAAAAATTATAAACTATTTTTATAAATTATTTGCTGAAATTTCATTTAAATATTGAATAAAAAATCATGAATATGTTAACAATAAGTGAAAAAAATCACAAACGTAGGATTATAATTTAAAAACTTTGTAAATATGGTGCATGGCAATTAAATTATATATTTTTGTGGAAAATTAAATGCATGAATTAATTAGAAAGGGACTATACCCAGAATATTCTGGTTGGCTGCATACGGTGGAGAAGTGCGTTTCACAATCAGAAGCACCAAAATTGCATCCAATTCCACTCTCGAATATTCCCTTTTATTCCCGCGTCTTGTTCTCATGTGCTACACCCTCCGATTCTTCGATTGACCCCATTTTCATCAAATCCAACGGCTGAGGTTGAATTTCAAATGCCACGCCCCGAAAGTTCTTCTAGAGGGTAAAAAGGGCAATTTTTCAATTTCAATTTCAATTCATGGCCACCTTCTCCCCTACCACGAACTATCCATGTGCAACGTAATATTCCTTTGGAATCAAAGATCCTTTTTTTATTTTTGAATTTAGGTTTTGGCATCACTATAAATACCCTTTTCTCTCAGAGTGGTAAATCCACGCCAAGAAGCGATTTTGAGAGCACTACGAGACACCCAAATAGAGCCTAATTCTGGTGAAGAAGGTTTCTTCTTCTTCTTCTGGGCCATTCTGTTTTTAGTGATCCCCCAAATACAAGATGTCTAGAATTGTGATAGTTTTCGACTTTGACAAGACCATCATCGATTGCGACAGTGACAACTGGGTCATCGATGAGTTGGGTTTCACTGATTTGTTCAATCAACTCCTTCCCACCATGCCGTGGAACTCTGTTATGGTAAGCTTTTGGAATTATTTTATTTTATTTTTTACCTTTGCAATCTACATTGTGTTAATGACATGAATAACCGTGTTTTGTTTGTTTTATGTTTTTGGTTTATAGGACAAGATGATGATGGAACTTCATTCACATGGTAAAACAATTGAGGACATTGAAGGGGTTCTGCATAGGATTCCTATGCACCCCAGAGTGATACCTGCCATTAAAGCTGCTCATGCATTGGGGTATGTAACTCTGTTTCTATTTTTCTTGTCTTTCAAATTTCCATTACATGATGTTCTGTTTCTGTTTGCCTTGTTTCCTTTTAAAAATAAATAATGTGTGGCATTTGTTTTTTTTTTTTTGTTTTTTGTTTTTCAGGTGTGATTTGAGGATTGTTAGTGATGCCAACATGTTTTTCATTGAGACTATTTTGAAACACTTGGGAATAAGGGAATATTTCTCCGAGATTAACACTAATCCAGGTTATGTTAATGAAGAAGGAAGGTTAAGGATTCTGCCTTACCATGATTTTAACAAGGTTTCACATGGCTGCAGTTTATGCCCTCCAAACATGTGCAAGGTATATATTTATATGCTTCCTTTTTAATCCATTCCCTTTTTTTACTTTGTTAAAATTATTTTTTTAATAATACGGACCTGTCATTGATTTGTCAAAATCATTGTGAAAAACTCAATTGGGACTCTTGTTATTTATTTAAATGATTTGTGTCAACAATTGACAACAATACATGTTTCTTGATATTGCTTTCGTGGTGGTCTTAACTGGCTATAGCTTTTGGGATATTATTATTTATATTTTTAATCATGAACATAGTTGCTAACGTGAGTCAATATGTTCATGAATCATGACTTTATCCTATAACAATGGAGTGCTGTCTCCTGATATTTTGGCCTTTAAAAAATGCCAAAACTGTGCTTAGCCAACCAACCACTCAATCGTAGTTTTGCGTCTACGATTTGAGCCCACTGGATTTGATGGAAATAGAAAAATAAAGAATAATTTTGACGTAGGCCCACCAATTACCAATTGTTCAATTTATAAGTAGAATTATCTCCCAAAAGATGATGGATTGAAGCTTCGTTTACTCATTAAGAAGTTTCTTTAATTTGAAATTTGGTGACCAATTATTATAATTCTAAATATTTTTCTTTTTATCATGGCAGGGCTTAATAATAGATAGAATTCAAGAGTCAATTTCTCAAGAGGATAATAAGAGGTTCATCTACCTTGGTGATGGAAGTGGTGACTATTGCCCAAGTTTGAGGCTTAAAGAGAAAGACTTGATGATGCCAAGGAAGAACTTTCCAGTGTGGGAATTGATATGCAAAGACCCTTTGCTTGTTAAGGCTGAAATCCATGGGTGGAGTGATGGAGAAGAGCTTGAACAAGTTTTACTGCATTTAATCAACAAAATTTCCATTGAGGAAAATGCTCAGCTTATTTCATCTGATTGCAAGCTACAGAATCTCTCTGTTTCTACCCCTGAAGCTTTGCCCAAAGTTCTCTCAGTTCGGCCATGATTTATTAGTTTAGTATCTTTACAAATGTATCATAACTCACAGGCTTTTTGTTTATTAACCTCAATCAAACCTTCATCGAAATAGCTCATGTTGGAATTGGTCCAGATGGACAACTAATAACTTTTATCAAATACAAATATCGGTTTGATCTTGATCCTTGTGGATTGCTTATTTTATCTTCTCAGCACTATTTTATTCTGGAAAATGAATAGATATTTTGATCCTTCTTCAAATATTCCTAATATTTTGGTTTTCTATTTGTAAATACATAAATATAAACGAAAAGCCATATTTTTCCTTATTAAATTATCTTGAAAAACTTATTATTAAATAAATTTTCAGAAGACTAATGGTATGTTTGGTTGAAAAATTGAAGAGAAAAGAAAATATGCCAGAGAAAAAAGGTTTAAGTGTTTAAATGAAGAGAAAGAAGATGAATAAAAGTTTTTAAGTTTGATTCAACAAAAAAAAATCTTTCTATTTTTTTGAATAAGTGAAAAAACACGCGATCAGGTATATTATTATTTTAACAAGATTATATTTTGATATTTTAGTTTTATACTTTTTTATTTTTAAAAAATTTAATTTAATTCTTTAATTTTTAAAATATTTAAATTATTTTCTATTACGGATGTTAATTTTACTTTTTGATCACATTATTATTCATCATCTTTCTTTCATGCAATTTTTTTTCTTACAAATTTTTTGTCTACGTCTTTATCTTAATTTTAATTTTCCTTGTATTTCATCTCTCTCCTTCTTTTGGCACATTATCCAAGTCAAATAACAAAGTTCTGTTCATGTCACACAGCAGCATGCGAAGAATGAAATTGTGAGGTACACTGATACACTATCACTTGGCAGAATGCACAGGTGCAAAGGCAACTGTGAACTACGTTCAAATATTAGGCAAATTTATTATAATATTGTAAACTAAAAAATAATTTATAAAACGTAAATCTGAAACAATTTTTTAATTTGGAATTTTTTTTTGTCACGTGAATCAATTTTTCGTCATAACAGCTGGCGAAAGGAATTAATTTTTAAATTTTTTAATATCTATTTCGCCACAAAAAATACAAAATATGGCTTTTTAGAGCGGTTAGTTTAAAACTACTCTCATAACTCTATTTTAGAGAATGGTTCCTTAAGGAACCGTTTTGAAATTTCAATATTAGAGAGCAGTTCCATTTGAATCGCTCTCAAAAGTCATGTTAGTGAGCGAACCGCTCTCAGAGAGCGGTCCTGCCGGAACCGCTCTTAGATTTAAAATAGACGGCTGGGGAGATTTTGATACACGTGGCAACATCTGAGATGATTTGCGCTGTTACTGGCGAAAGTTTATTTCGCCCTGCAGTTAGTGAAACCATTCAGGCATTGTAATTATATAAAACTAAATATAGTTTACGTGAGTTAAATAAAATTATATAAAACTAAAAATTGACTTAAATAAAATAATTATATAAAACTAAATATAAATTTATATTTAGTTTGATTGTAATAAATAATTTTTACACCTATAATAAAGTAAAATTTTAAATGCAGTAATCATAATTTATATGAAATGTATGTATAAAATTTGTATGTAAATAATAAAATTTTTTACTTTTAAAAATGTAATATTATTTATATGATTATAAACTAAATGTAATATATGTAAATTTAAATTAGAAAAATGAAAAAATAAAAATATAATTAAATTTTATGCTAGTAATTAGAGTTTTGTATTTATATAAAATTTATGTAGATTTAAATTAGAAATATAAAAAAATAAAAATGTAATTTAATTTTATGCAGTAAGTAAAGTTTTGTATTTAAATAAAATTTGTATGTAAATAATAATATTTTTACTTTAAAAAACGTAATAGTATTTATATAATTATAAATTAAATGTAATTTATGTAGATTTAAATTGGAAATATGAAAAAAATTAAAATGTAATTTAATTTTATGCTAGTAATTAGAGTTTTGTATTTATATAAAATCTGTATGTAAAATTTATGTAAATTTGTATTTAGAATAATTAAAAATTTATATATCTTTAGTTATAATATGTATAGAATATAGGTTAGTATATTTAAAAAAAATTATTTATTTAATTTTGTTTATATACACCTGATTTTTGCATTTATAATATATTGTAATGAATATAATATGATGTCATTACAATGTGATAATGATTTGTTAGAAAATTTGTTTAACCTTTATAAAATATGTATTATTAATATGCTAGTAAAATATATTATTATTATTATTATTATTATTGAATGAAATTTTTTTACTAATATTTTTTATTGTTGTATAGATGGCATCATCTTCACAACAAAGTAGGGTTATTAATCCCGGGTTAGAAGATCCATCAAAACTAACATGACTAACATGACTTTTGAAACCGCTCTCTAATATTGAAATTCCAGAGCGATTCATAAGGAACCGCTCTCTAAAATGGAGTTATGAGAGCGGTTTTAAACTAACCGCTCTAAGAAGTCATATTTCATATTTTTTGTGGCGAAATAGATATTAAAAAATTAAAAAATTAATTACTTTCGCCAACCGTTATAGCAAAAAATTGATCCACGTGGCAAAAAAATCCCAGATTGAGAAATTGTTTCAGATTTGCTATAAAATAATAATTTTTTTAAATTTATAATATTATAATAAATTTGCCTCAAACACTGTCAATGGCTCCACCAAATGTGAAACTAATTTTAGGAAGAAAATTGTGAAGGTGCATATAAGGAGGAAAGAAAGGAAGGAAAAGAGAAAAAAGGAAAGAAAAGAAAAAAAAAGGAGAAAGGATAAAAAGAATAATTGATATAAGGAAAACTCATAAAACAGAAAAAAGATAATCAGTCATTTCTGAAAGTGTAAAAATTAGATGATCAAAAATATAATTTTTTATTTGTTAAAAATATTTATATAATACAAAAAACTTAAAACAAATTTTTATTAAGAAAAATTATTATAATAAAAATATTTTTTTGGTATTAGTTTTAAGTCTTTATGATTACTTTAATATAATTTAACTATTTTTTTTAAATTTACACTTCCTAGTGGAGATTTTTTTTCTCTTATTTCAATCCATTTAAATATTAAAACTTTTTCACTATATTACTTATTTTTTATTTATTTTTCCTCTATTTATTTTTTTCCTATTTTACTTGAGTTTTCTATTTATAAATATATAAATATAAATGATATTGCATTAATTATTTAAAGTTACATTAAATTAGCTATTGAGGACAAACTGATTATGTATTTTTTTTTTAAAAGACTAAGAGCTAATGTGGTTGGTATGACCTATAAAGTAAAAAAAATTCAGTCAAAGTATTTTTATTTTGGGGAGAAGTATTAGGTGTGGCAGATTGGTCTTTGTCTTCTTTTGCATATTCCTATCAGTCTTGAAACACTACATTCAACAAGTTTTGGGAGATAAATAATTTCAAGGTGAAGAAATTGTTGATATAGAAAAACAAAATATGATGGTGTCATGGTGGCTCAATACCCGTAACCCATTAGTAATATGGAATTGAAACACATAACATAATATATATAATTATGAAGATTAATATTTAAATATTTTCTGAGTGAAAATGTCAAAAACAAATAGGAATTTGGGTGTTGAAGATTGTTGAACTTTCCTATTTGATGTCAAATTTTGTTTCTATCCCAAGTCGTATAATTCCTGAGGGCATATTAACAACTCATATGATTGAGTTATAGAAAATGTTGTACTCAGTTACACACACATATGCATTATGATGACGCCCTTTTCCACACCTCAAGTTAAAGCAAAGAAATTTAATTATCTTAACTTTTTTTTCCCTACGTATTCATACCTTATATCATCTTTATTATTTTATAAAAAAAATTATATGAATATTCTTTTTAATAATTTTTTTAATATACTTTTCATAATTTTTAAAATTAAATTTTTTATAAAACATATTTTACTCATTTTATAAAATATAATTTTATCATTTCAATAATTTTATTTTATTATTTTTATTTTTCTCAAATATTATATATGATAGCATAATATTATTATCACAGTATGCATTCAAATAAAAAAGTACAACATAATATATCTTGCTCTTATAATATCTTATATTTATTCAACTAGAATATCCAATATTTTTTATTCTATCATATTCACTTGGGAAGTTTTAAAAATAATAACTAGAATTTAATTAATTAGTTTAATCAACACAATTTGTATAAATTAAGTCTATACAACACTTTTATGTATCATTAATTTTATTATAGCTAGTCTAACTCTCTCTTATAGTAGAATATTTATTATGTTAATTTTTGTGAGTATATCTATTAACTATCTCTTCAACTAAATTGCTTGTCCCAATAAAAGAAAATGGAGGAATGCTGAAAAGTGACAACATAGTTTTTAATACACTTTTGTTATTGACTAAAATTATCAAAACTTAAAAAATAAAACATGAGAGAGAAACATTAGTGAGAAAAAAAATTCACATGATTTTTTTAATTTTAAATAAATTTTAGTTAATAATAAAGTGTGTGTTACAAATAATGTATTAGAAAGTGTATTACTAGAATTATTAAAAAAAGTATATTGAAAAAGGGGAGAGAAAGTAGCTTTTCCTCCAAAATGCTATATTATCATGGTTACGTGCAAGCTCGCACCTTCTTTTCTTATAAATACCCTCTCACTTAGGTGCATGATCTCATAGTTTAATTCAAATGGCTGGGATTGTAGTGATTTTTGACTTTGACTCCACAATCATCGAGTGTGATAGTGATAATTGGGTGCTTGATGAGACGGATTTAACTCAAAAGTTCTATAAGCTTCTTCCTAGCATGGCTTGGAACCCTCTAATGGTTTTATTTTCTTGCTTCACATACTATGTTTTCTATCTTATTATATTCTCTCAATGTTTCGGTATTATTTTTTGTTTTCCTTAAAACCTTGCAGGATAGGATGATGAATGAACTTCATTCACAAGGAAAAACCATTGAAGAAATTGTAGAAATTCTGAACAGGACTCCAATGCATCCCCGCATTGTCCATGCTATTGAGGAAGCTTATTCCCTCGGGTTATCTGCTGTTTCTCTTTCACTCTCTGCTTTATTACATGTAATATTATGTGCCTGGTAGGAAAATAATGAGACATTTGAAAAGAATTGTGGAGAATTTTATAAATTCTTTTAGTTTATTATAGTGAATTTTATTACATATATTCGTGTCTAAAGGTGAAAATCGATGGAGTATGAATGGATTTATTGTTATTTTTCATTCACCACGTTAAATTTATTTCTTCCATTTGCATCCTTATGATCAAATAGCTAGTGAATTATGTGGGGTCTTTTGCTTTTTATTTGCTGGATGAAGATATATACTCATTAGTGCCTATGGAATTGAATTGGGTTCAGATGTGACCTGAAGATTGTGAGTGATGCAAATATCTTCTTTATTGAGACAATTCTGAAGCATCATGGAGTGTGGAATTGTTTCTCAGAGGTCATTACCAACCCCAGCCATGTCAATGAAGGGAGGCTCAGTATTTTTCCCTACCATGATTATCTAAAATCTTCCCATGGATGCAATCTTTGTCCACCAAACATGTGCAAGGCAATTGCATAACTCCCAAGACCTATTTAATTACTTATTTATGCCCATGCATGAAATAATATTTCTCATTTATTCTACTTATATTGTTAATCACTTAATAATTCTCTGATGAATAATATCGAACCTATTGGAGGATGCTTTGGTCAATTTTACTTTGATAATATTAAATATAATTACGATTTTTTAACATGTATTTAAGGATATATGTTAAAAATTTAATAAATATATTTTTTGTAAAAAGAAATATAATATTTAATGTTATAAGTATATTATATCTTATATATATATATATATATATATTTTATAAAAAATTACTATATATAAATTTTTATTGTGTATTGTTGAATACATATTAAAAAATTGATATAATTAATATAATTTTAACATTTTGTGATTATTCACCCCACATCATCCACTTTGCTGATCCGTGTCATATTTCCATGTCACAATCCAAGGGAACCAGGATAACATTTGACAAAATTATGTCGCATGCATAAAAAATGTACATGAGAAATTTTCAATGATAAAAAAAAGAATTAATTCCTTGAAGCAAACAAAATAAAAATCATAAAGAATATTCATTTATTTATCAAGACTGCCCTAGAAATAATTTATAATTGGTGTCAAGCTTTTTTTTTTCCTCTAATAAATTTTCTTAATGACATGTAGGGTTTGGTGATAGAAAGGATTCAGAGTTCCCTAGCAGCAGCAGGAAAGAAGAAACTAATCTACCTTGGAGATGGAAAAGGAGATTTTTGCCCTAGTTTGAAGCTCAAAGATAGGGACTATTTGATGCCTAGAATTGAATTTCCGTTGCGTGATTTAGTATCCAAAAATTCTAACAAGATAAAGGCAGAGGTACATGGTTGGAATGATGGACAAGAGCTTGAGCAAGTCTTGCTCCATATCATCAACAAAGCTAATGGTGATCAAGGAATCAACATTAACAATTCTACTCCTACAATTTCAGCTGATTGCAAATTGGGTTCAGCTCATCAACCTTTGCTTAAATCCCTCCCAGTTCCTCAATAAATAGTAGCTAAATTAAAATTAAATTGCAAAAAATGAATAAATAATCGATCATAAAAAAAGATCTTTTAAAAAGTAAGCTATCATTTTGAAACATGCCATGAATGGCATGTTCATATTTATTATTAAAGCTGTCATAGTGTCTTGTCTACTTCTTAAATTTTATTTTAAAATATTAATTGCTGTCTCATTCTCGATCAGACAGTGTACGAGGCAGTGCTTTGGTCATTGAAGATAATAAAATATATCATGACATTTAGTTGAATAAAAGTATAAGAATTAAAGTACCTTGTGCCTTGTGTTGCATGTCCATTGTCATTACCTTTTCTCTTAAAAAGCTTGAATTATTTACTTTTGCCTTTCAACTAGCTTTTTAAACCAACAATTATTTAGTTTGAAGAATGAATAAAACACTATTACTGGCAATGTCATCGACAGCTGAGGAGCAAATATTGATGAATAGATTATTAGATTCTGACAGCCATCGTTGGTTGTCTAATTAATAGCTGGTCAAGTGAATAAAGGAGAGTAGGTACTCTATTATTTGTATATTCAAATACTAGCATGGTGAATATATATTAGAGATGACAACAAAATCTAGAGGTGGTAAATTGGATTTACCTTCCCCGTTAACAACTGCAGAAGAAGGGTGTGATGTCAAGGGGTCAGGAAGAGTATTAGAAATGAATATTTTTTTAATTAATTTATAATTATTAGTTAAAATTTATTAAAAATAAAATGTAAAGGAAAATAATAAAATCATGAGTGAGACTTGTATAATTTTTAATAAATTTTAGTCAATGATAAAAAGTGTGGGTGAAAAATATTTTTTTTTTTCATAAAATTATTTGACCTGATTTTAAAAATAGGTTAGGAATATAATTCACCTTGTAAATTTGGTGGGTTAATTTATTTAAGAAATAAAAAATAAAAGTTACTTTTGAAAAACGAATGAAATGAAAAGTGAATATGTAAATGAAAGTAGAGATTAAAAATAACAAGAATTAAGTTTATATTTAGACTTCTGATAAAATAGAAGAGAGTGGATCAATCAATTAATCTTCAATTACTATAATGCTTAATTTATATAAGACAGACTTTGATGAGTTAATACATGTAACTTAATAAGGGCGTTAGCCTTGTATATCTAACTTATTTTACACCTCTAATAGTATCTATCTATTCCATATTGCTCTGACATCGATCGATCGACTATGAAAATTCAGTTTGACCTAGTTTCAAGTGTGGATCAAGTTTTTCCCAAAAATAGGGGATGCAGGTTTGGAGATACAAATATATCTTCTCACCCCACCTTCGACCTCATCTTGATAATAATTGAATTATAAAATTAAACCTACATTTTTATGCGAATATGATTTGGCTTTTAAGTTCTTAACGTTCATGTCTTATGTATTATTTGATCTAAAATATGATGGATATATAATTTATTTTAAAAAATATGACATTGCAAACCAATTACAACAGCAAAAAAATACACTAAACGTGGAAATATATGCTTAATTGTCGCAGTTTTACATAAAAGGAAACCTTAGATTTATCTTCTATTTATTTTTCTTTTTAACTTTTTTTTTTTATGAAAAGCAAGGCTTTATTTCAACAACATCAAATTTTTTCTTTTGTATGTAAGGATAAATTGAAAATAGATATGCTACGTACAAATCCACCAATTGGACAATCATGGTACGAAATACTAAACATTTATTCATGATTCCGATCAATGTTTAACTTAAAAATCCAATCATTACCACTTTTTTCTAGCACCATTCTCCCCCATAATCATTAATGTGTCATATTCTTTGCTTTCTCAGAAATTGCAGGATTTGGGTCACCATGTTCTTCAAAGTATACGCAATTGAATCAAGAAAAGCTATGTTTCTATGCATCGTCTTTGCCTTATTTGCATCGTGTATCTATCATGCGCACTAAACAACCTTTAGCTTGCTTTATTCTACCATTAATTAGGAAATGGACACAAGGTTGGATCTCACTTGAGAAAAAGATAAAGCAAGAAAGCAAGAAAGCAAGAAAATACTGTCACCATTATATAGATTATGATTATCAAGAAAACCTATAACACTAGCAACACATCATGCATTATTTCTCATGTGCATGGCCTTTGATGTCCCTGTCTTTTTTTTTTATCTAATCTTGTTTTGTGACAAAACAATGCATTTGAGTTCTGTTTATAGAACTTAGATTTCTGCACTATTCTTTTTGTATAACTAGATTTGACAATATTCCAGATCTTGCTGAGATAGGGCTAATTCATGCACAAAAATTCTACCCTTTTTTTTTAGCATAGAAAGCTCCAATCTCAAGCACAGGATAGGAAAACAGTGCAAATAATAGTTTTAAAAGAAAATGTACAAAAATCATTTCATTAGAAGTCCTTCCGTACAAGCAATGTGGTCTACCTTTTGATAACTTTAGAGCAGTTGTGTTGTGTGAAATACATGCAGCATGGTTTCATGCTGTGTCGAGTTCAGACGTCAACTATGGGTGTTTGGAAGTGCTTTCATCAAACTGAATTATGTTTATTAAATCACTTTTTTTCTTTTAGGCAAAGGCTAACCAAGATCTCAGGGACACGGATGAATTTATATTCTTTCGTGATTTTCAATATAGTCTAATGTAATTTTTAATGAAAATTTTTTACTTTATTGATCAATATCCTTAAAACACTGATTAATAAGACCCTTTATTTTCTAAACCTTTTTTAATTTTAGTTTGATAATAAAATTTACAATATAAGTAATCATGTAATTAAAGCTTATTAAATAAGAACTTTGTTTAGTTGTTTATTTAGAGATACCTTGTATCAATTTCTAATTGAGCTTTCAACTCATCTTCAATTATGAAAGCCATTTTCAACGGAAGCAAAGTGGAACAAGTATTGGTTTTCTTGTAAGAAGAATCATGGCAGCCAATAATTCAGATTTTGTGGAGTAAACCTATTAATACAAACGTGTATCCTATCAGCCCCAAAAATGATTACAAATATTCCACTTTCAGGAAAGGATTTGAATTTCGTGACAACTCTAAATTTTATTTTTTAAAATATAAATTTCCAGTCACATTATTTCTATTGTTCATAATGTATCACAAATTCTAATGGGAAGTCGTGTTACAATTGCATGAACTAAGGAATTGGTTCACTTTCACAATCTTTCTCTGGTAGCTACAGATAACAATTAAATCTTAATTACGCTTATATTCCGATTCTGAATACATCCAAATGAGTTACATGTGTACCAAATGTTTTAAAAAAAATCCAGATGACAGTAACTCAGTAATGTTTTTCATTTCGGAAAGTTATTTGTTAGTTTCGTTTCTGATTTGGGTTTCACTAATCACCATGCCATTCATATTTTATAGTACGATCGTACACTTTGTGACAATCAAAATTATTAGTTGAAGGGTAAGATTGAAATGAAATTAAGATAGTTACTCATCAATGTCAATAGTTGAAAAGAAAAATAAAGTAAAAAGGAGTGGCAATACAAATAGAAGTGCAAAAATTCTGTCAAAATTTGGATAGAGAAAGGAAATAGGTGACCTACATTTGATAGTAACATATTTTTTAATTTTAAGTTAAAAAAACCTATGTATCATTTCTGATGATAAATGCATAATTAATACATTAAGTTTATATTTATATATCAATTCATATATTTTAATTTAAAAGATATTAATTTTAAATGTATTTATTTAAAATAAAAAAAGTCTCAGACTTGAGGTAAGGCTAATGCATTTTCTTTGCATGTTAAATAAGAAAATGAGTAATCTTCTGAGTTTCTAGTGCTTTCTTATTGTTGCTGAGAAGGTCAAAAGGAGGATTATTCAATTCAATATACGAGCTCTCATATTATATTGCTTCTCTCAGTGCCAATGTTGAGGCAAGCTAATCTTTTGGGAGCAAATTCCTGTTACAGTTGGACCAATATTCTGCTACCAGCTTAGAGAATGAAGAGTCAATATCCATAAGCTTTGAAGGCTTGTCATACTCCACCAGTTTCCCTACAGTAATCAGAATAAACATAAGGAATAAGGGATGACTAAAGAGACACATATTTAATCTACTGATATAATAAAGGAAAAATTAAAGAGTGACCAAATAAGTAACATACAATAATTTGTAACCGCACAGCCATATAATTAAAAACATAATAATAATAATAATAATAATGATAATAACAATAACATACCATAAGATAGGACCATGATCATGTCACTGTCTATTACACTTGGAATTCTGTGAGCCACAGTTATAACTGTGCATCGAGAAAATTCTTGTCTGATAACTCGTTGTAGAATAGAATCTGTTGCAGAATCAATGGAAGCAGTAGCTTCATCCAGAACAAGTATTCTGTTCCTCTTAAGGAGTACTCTTCCTAGACATAAGAGTTGGCGCTGCCCTACACTCCAGTTTTCACCTTCATCACTCACTGTTAAATTGGTCAGAAGTAGACTACTTCAGTCATATGTATAAAATTTGAATTTGAATAATATGATGTCATTGTTGCAATATTATAACGAGGATCTTCATCCTCTCTCATTGTAGCTCTTAAGAAGATCTTGTTACTTCCCACAACAGGTCCCATATTCCTATTGGAATTAAAATAAAAGAATCCAAATTTCTAGAGCCATTTTTTAAAGTTTCTTCTTTGTTATATAGTATCTCTCTGCCTGTATCTTGATCTGTATCCGAACGTTACATGGCTGGACCTTGAGGCCTCAACTCATATAAAAGGTGGTTCGGGTTAAGCAATTGATAGTCCATGCAAAATTTTGTGAAATCTTTTATGGTATGGATTAACAATACAGTTGTGCTTATAATTTGGAAAAAAAATTACATTTATTGATTTATCCATGTATCTGACCCTAACAATTGATATGAAGTTTGATTGTTGTTACTTCCATTTCATTTTGTAACGTTAAAGTTCACAGATTTAACTCACCAGAAGTGTCCAAGAGATTTGGTAGACCGCTAATTGTTGCCTTAAGCTGACATTTTTCTAAAGCCTGTACAAATGAATGGCCACAAAACCTTTGCTTGGTGAAAAAAAAAATCGAAAAAAACAATGTAATTTATTGCATATGATTTTTCAGTAGCCAGTTCATTTTACCTTCCATATTTCATCATCAGAGTACAGGCCTAGAGGGTCCAAGTTGGTTCGAATGCTACCCTTGAAAAGAGTTGGTTCTTGAGGAATAATGCTTAGCTTCATTCTCAAATCTTTTACCCCTATTGAGCATGTATTGATCCCATCTATAAGAATGTCACCTCTTGTAGGCTCAACTAAGCGAAACAAAGCACTTATAAGTGTAGTTTTTCCACTTCCAGTCCTTCCTACAACACCTACTCTACTCCCTTCTTTAAATGTACAGGAGATGCCCTTAAGGACTAATGGAGCGTTTGGATGATATCTAATCTGAAATCATTCTAGAGAAAATCAGATTTAAATTCATTTGTGTTAAACATGGATGAAGGTAGAAAAGAGGGGCAATCATATAAGTATAATTTTGTTGGTTTGTTACCTCTAGAGATTGGAGATCTATTCTACCTTTGTAAGGCCAAGAAGATGGTGGTCTATTGTCCTCTACAATTGCACTAGGCTCTGCTGGTATGTGAATGAATTGCTTGATTCGTTCAACAGAGATCACATAGTTTGATAAATTGCAAAACATTCGAGTCAGATAAACTTGAGTTGCTGTCAGTGAAAAAGCATAAGACAGAGAAAGTCCCACAAGGCCTGCAACCAGATAGAGACAAAATTTGGTATAAATTATCAGCATGGAAACGCTAAAAAAATATGAACATAACATGAGTATGTAATATATGCTAATTTTGTCAAGTAACAAATAACAATACCAGGAGCCACATATCCCTTTGGAAGTAGAACAAGTAGCAAAGCAGCAGTGAAGAGTGTCAAATTCTGAAGCACTTCTATCCTTAAAACTAACCATTCAATGGCAGCATTAGAATGAAAGAACATTGTGGCATCTGTGTCAACAAGCTTTAGGTAGTTTTTGAAAAATCTGTCAGTCATGTTGAATGCTCGTATAGTAATTACACCAAGTGATGTCTCAGCTGTAAAATTCATAAGAGGAGCTTTTGTGGTTCCATTGATCCGTATAATTTCTCTTGCAGAGGCTTGATAATAGCCCTTATATACAAAAAAATAATAAAGCATAGGTAAAATAACAAAACAACAGTCATTACTTGCTCACTCAGTTTGAACAAGGATGGAGAGAAAAATACCTGAATATATTTTGAAGCCACCATCGCAAGAAATGCAACAATGAGCACTTGCCATGTGACTGAAACCATTATCCCAATCATTGTCAGAAGTTCAGCTATTTCAGCTGCTACAAAGATAGTGGTAAAAGGGATATCAAAATCCAAAATACTCAAATCTGATGAAGCCTGCAAGTGAGAGACATGCCGAGTTGAAGAATAGTCACAAGAATAGAATTAAGTCTTCCAATACAATTAGGAATACAGGAACCTTACTCGCGTCAAAATCCTCCCTACAGGGGTCGAGTCAAAGAACAACATAGGAGCATTGAAGATAGCATCAGTGAAGGCAGAGAAGAATGCTTTAGAGGCTTTTAAACCAAGTTGTGCACCAAAGAAAGACCTCAGATATACGAAGACAATGCTTAAAAAAGAAGTCACAGCATAAACTCCGATTAGGATGCTACTAGTTACTTCTGGGATTTCAATGGCTAGAGCAAGCCAATAAGTTGATGCAGTCTGAAAACCAACAAAAGCCAACTGTGATAATGTGCTCAAACACAGAAGCAATGATCCTTTGGGGAAGAAAATATAATCACCAAATGGCTTCCACCCTACATCACCAATCTCCTTTTCTTCTTCTTGTGTAAGTTGACCTTTGGAAGAAATATCTCCATCACTTCCACCTTTAGTGAGATTAAAAACATGAGAATCCTCAGGCTGAATTGTATCCACATTTTCAAATTCTCTTTTGTTCTCATTACTTATTTCCAACCCTGTGATTGCCTCTCTATGAGCACTCAAAAGTTGTTCAAAGGCTGTTCTTGCTGTCAACAAATCTTCATAACCACCTATTTGAGTAATTTCCCCCCCTTCCATTACCTAGAATTCCAGAGACACGGTTTGCTTATATATGAGTTAAGACCAAACAAAAGCATGAAATTCAAATATGCGGCACAGTACCAAAATTTTGTCAACTTTGGAGAGAAATTCAACTTGATGAGTCACAACAATAACAGTTTTCCTTCTTAAAGCAGACCTGACACAATCCTGCAATTGCATAACATAAATTAGAATAGTGTTCAGAATATGAGCTAATGGTTTCATTCTTCTTAAGAATCTAAAAGTGGTTCAAGTTACATTGAACAAAATAGACGCAGTATGAGCATCTACAGCACTAAAAGGGTCATCTAGGAGATAGATATCAGCATCATTATAGACAGCTCTTGCTAGTTGAATCCTTTGCTTTTGTCCTCCACTCATGTTAATCCCTCTCTGACCTATTTCTGTAAGATCACCATGGCTAAATCCATCAATATCCTTATCCAAGGCACAGACCTTAATGATATACTTGTACCTGGTTTCATCCATTGGTTTTCCATAGAGAATATTATCGCGAATTGTACCGCTTTGAATCCACGGAGTTTGGGAAACATAGGCAAGAGTTCCACCTGCACTAACCTGTTTTCCCATTTTCATTAACAGGTAAAGAATTGAAGGTTATTGAAGTTACTAAGTTGTTTGACATGATAATATACTAAATTTTCAAGGTCAATAACTCACAGTTCCTGAAATTTTGGGTATCTCTCCAAGTATCGCATATAGGAGAGATGTTTTTCCTGCACCAACTGGACCACAAACTGCTAGAGTCTGCCCCCACTTGATCTCAAAATTCACATCTCTCAAAGTTGGAGGCATTGATTCCTGATCCCAACTGAAGTTGCCTGCTATAATTTCAACACTATTGTTACATGACTCTAGTTTTGAATTTCTTCCAATATCATCATCACTTTTTATCTCATCATCAAGCAAAAAGGTGTTGAGACGATCAAAGGAGACCTTAGCTTGAATCAGAACGGAAAGTGCTTCTGGAATCAAATTAACAGGTTCTCCCATGCTTCTCAATGCTGCAAGAACTGTGAAGATAGTTCCAGCATTCAAAGGGGCACTCTGAAAAAGCACACATCCCATGAAAATAACAGATGAAATGATGGTAGGGGACATCCAATAAATAAATGTACCATAAGCTCTCGTGAACTGTGTTTTAGCCAAACATTCGAACTCTTTAGCACGAAGGGATTCAACTAACTTCTTGAAGTTATCCTCCCAGGATTGCAACTTTATGATTTTCATACTACTCAGAATCTCTGAAGTTGACCTTAGGCGCTCATCCTGTGCAATCATAAATTCTGATCTATATTTTTGAAGGATCTTGGCAAATGGTACATTTAGAAATCCACAAATGAGAAAAGGCACTAAACCAGGAAGTGCACCTAGACCAACAACACCAAAAAGGACACCAAGAGCCAGAAAAAGTTGCAATGCAGAAAACAACAATGTATGAAACCACCATGGAAACTCTCCCATTCTATAGGCATCAACTGCAATGTAATTCACAATCTCTCCAGTTGAATGCCTTCTCTTACCCAGAACTGAAAGTTTCAATTGCTTTTTATATACTGCAGCCATTAAAGCAGATCTTATTTTCATTCCTAACCTCCTCGAGTTAAAAGACCAATGCCTCTGAGACACAGACTCAACTACCTTGGCAAATATAAGACACCCTAGTATGGCCATTCCTTGTTTAAGGTCTTCCTCAATGCTACTGGAATAGTTTACAAAAGCATAGACAAGTAAAGGTGACACAACTGCACAAATTGTCCTAAGAAAAGCACAAAGGGCTATAAAGATGTTTTCTTTCAAGTAAACCCGGGCTATGGACATCAAAACCAAGTTTCTAGAATTTTTCATGCCCCTCTCCCACAAAAGGGAATCCCATGCATGAGCAAACTTTTGGTATGAAAAATCAGCTTTATCTTCAGAATCCAAAGAAGGTATGTCTTCAAGTGCTAGAGGCTTTGAGTAACCCAAACTGAGTAAAGCATTCATCCAAGAGAAAGTCAATCTGCTAAGAATGGTGGCATGGCCTAGTCCTGTTTGTTTAAGTTTGACCTCATGAACTACTAGAGGCTCACACAAACTGGTATCTGAAGTTTTCAGTGGGACAAAGTAGCCATGGTTTTGGAAGGCACAGAGAACAGTTAGAATGAGTACTAGCCATATTACCATACCAAAAACTTGAAAGGTATGCTCTTTAAGCAGAATTTCAACATTAAGTGCTGAAACCAATGTACATGAAGACACCCACCAAATGGAGCATAAATTTTTTATCCATTGGGACCTCTGAACAAACAAAGAAACTGCTAAAGAAATCCAAACTAGTCCTCTGACAATGCAAACCGATGAGTTCAGCTGATTGAAGCCACTGATTTTGGCTATGAGATCCCACAAACCATCAATAAAATATGCAATGCTCAAAAGGGTACAACAAACTGCGGTAACTACATGAACACATCCCTTTCTATAGCAACCACTTGCAGGGCTTTTCTTGATCAAATGGATAAGCAAAGATACATAGAAGACACTCAGAAAAAGCATGTTTACAATGTCTATCATACACCTTTTGGTAGAAATGGAAGCCAAATTGAAATCTCCAATGCAAATCCATGAGAAGTTATCTGCAAATCCCATAAACAAGAAACAATGAAAGTTCATTATCTTTAGTTACATACGAAGTTTGAAACCTTAAAGAAAACATGTTCTGTCAAGGAATTAAGAAATAAACCACCTATTGTACTTCCCAAGCATGCCATTTATGTAGCTCAAAGTGGCTTGTTACATGCACAGCAATGTGTGGTTCAAAAAAGGAAGTTAAGTTTTGAAGAAATTAATAACTGGAGGGATTATACCCTAGTTGATCCAATTTCTGATCACTCTTCACTCCATCGAAAATTGTTCCCCTCCATTTGCTAAGGAAATGGACAACATTCTCCAACATCGAAAATTTTAAAAGTATTATTTTTTTTAATTTGTTGGACATTATTCATAATAAAAAAAATATACTAAGTTTTTATTTAAAATTATAACATTTAATAATATTAAATTTTAGAATTTTTAATAAAAATTTATTATGTATAACTTTTTTTTATGCAATGTGGCATAAATTAAAAAAAATTCAAGTATTAATAAATTTCATAAAAATAATAATAATAATTTTACAATAAAATTTATATTATAATAATTTTAATGATAGACGAAGAAATAGACTAAAAACTTGAGAGAAAAAAATGGAGAGGATCTAGATTCCTTCTTATGCAACTTTTTGTTACACTGTTTCTTTTTTAAATTCTATTATTTTTCCTTTTGATACATTATCCTTCTATTGTTGAATGAGAACTGCACGTGTGTTTCTCGGATGAGAAAGACGAGGCAGTGGATTAGTTCAAGATTTCATTAGCTTTATAGAAGATAAGAAACTCGTGAATGATAATTTTTGGTGTAAATATATAGATGTAACAATTAAAAATTATAAAATAACAAAAATTATTCTTAAAAAATATTAAACAAATTTTAAAAATCAAAATTCGTAATAGTAATTTTTAAAAAATAATAAAAATAAAAAATACTAATGCTAATTTCGAAAAACTAAAACAAAAATTGCCATTGGAGATTTTTATATATTTTTTAAAATTCCATATTTGAAACTTTACATCTCAATGAATATAATAATAGTAAAAACAATTTGTGGCACGAAGCACGAGCTGAACGGAAGTCAAATATGAGGGATGGATTGAAATTTTGTGAGTTGGGAATTCTTAGATTTCATTGATTTTGTTTATTTTATGTATAAGGCATCCATTAACGTTGAAAACCACATCTTCGATGCATGGCATGCATGATACGTGCCTTCTACTTTGGATTCCTCTCTTGTTTGCACGCAAACATGTGTTAGCATGTTTTTGTATTTTTGTTTAAGCAAAAAATAATTCACTTAAACAAAAATGCAAAAACACGAAACATGTCCTTCATGTAATAGAAGGAGATCTTTTTTTATAATCAACCAGTATTAAGGAATTAAGTCAAATACTTTTAAATTTAAATTTAATTTATAAAAAATATTTATGTTTGATTCATTTATTTAAATGAATCAAATTTAAAGGTTGAGTTTATTTTAATTAAAAGAATTTAAGTTTGAATTGACTTATTTTTTTTTACAATATTTAAATAAAATTTTATTTATTTATTTAATATTTAATAGATAACTTTATGTCAAAAATTGAAATAAAATATAATTTTATTTGCATAAAAATTAATTCTTAAAAATTAAAATTATGATCATTTACAGAGCATAAGATACTGTTAAACCATCGATTTTGATAGGAATGGAAATCAGTATGCGCATACATATAAAATTTCAAGGAATTCATTTGCTTTTGTGATTCTTCTGGTCTCTTTACTACAGGGAGGTCAATCATTTTTCCTTCAATTTATTTGTAATCCCTTTATTCATCTTCCTTTTCCACAATGTTCTTATTCAATCTTGCAGCTTGCTAATATTTGAGGATGAATTCTTCCTGCAACTGGACCAATATTCAGCTACCAACTTGGAGAATGAAGAATTGGTGTCCATTAACTTTGAAGGCTCATCATATTCCACCAGTTTCCCTATAGAAAGCAGCAAAAAAATTAGGTAACTGAGAGAATCAGAGAAGAGAGATAGTATATCTTATAAGAGGATAAAATGAAATGAACAAGTGATGAATGTACCATAAGACAGGACCATGACCATGTCACTATCTATTACTGTTGGAACCCTGTGAGCCACAGTTATAACTGTGCATTCTGCAAATTCTTGTCTAATTATTCTTTGTAGAATGGCATCTGTTGCAGTGTCAATGGAAGCAGTAGCTTCATCCAGAACAAGAATTCTGTTCCTCTTGAGGAGTACTCTTCCAAGACAAAACAGTTGGCGTTGTCCTAAGCTCCAATTTCCACCTTCATCACTCACTGTAAAACTGATCAGAATTAGACTTCAATAGCTAATTGGTTCCAAAATCATAATTTGGAAATATGATAAGTTTAAAATGACCACATGTAGGTTCAATGATTTTGTGTTTCTCTTCAAAATTAAACATTAAAAAGAGTAAATTTGCAAAAGATTGTTGTCCAAGTATGCTGAGAGAATTGGCAAGAAGATACACATCAGATTTTTAGCTTCAAGTTAATGAAGTTTACTCACCAGAGGAGTCCAAGAGATTTGGTAGACAGCTGATAGTTTCCTTAAGCTGACATTTCTGTAAAGCCTATATACAAATTAAATATAATCAAACCTGTGCGTATTGAAAAGATCATGTACAAGTTAAAGATATTCAAATGTAACATATTTTTCAACTACAAAACTAGTTCACGCACCTTCCATATATCATCATCTGAGTAGAGGCCTAGAGGGTCCAAGTTGGTTCTAACGCTGCCCTTGAAAAGAGTTGGCTCTTGAGGGATGATGCTTAGTCTCATTCTCAAATCCTTCAACCCCATTGAGCATATATTAATCCCATCTATAAGAATATCACCTCTTGAAGGCTCAATTAAGCGAAACAAAGCACTTATAAGTGTACTTTTTCCACTTCCAGTCCTTCCTACAACACCTACTCTACTTCCTTCTTTAAATGTACAAGTGATACCCTTAAGTACTAATGGAGCATTTGGACGGTATCTAATCTGAAATTAACATACAAAAAACAGACATTAGGCATGAATTCATGTGCCCAATTGACAGTAACAAAATGAAGAAGAAAAAAAAAATTGAAAGACAAGGATGCAACTTTACCTCTAAGGCTTGAAGATCAATCCTTCCTTTGGAAGGCCATGAAGATGGAGGCCGGTTATCGTTCACAATGGCAGGAGGCTCTGCAGGTATGTTAATGAATTGCGTGATTCTTTCAACAGAGATCAGATAGTTTAACAAGTTGCAATACCATCTAGTCCAAAATATTTGGGATCCTGTCAAGGTGAAAGCATAAGAAAGAGACAATCCCACGATGCCTGCACAGACAAGGAGATTTTCCAGTAATTATTACCTTGTCAATAGCATGGACAAAGCCTTACCATGGGAATTAACTTTTTTGTGTAATATTACCTGGGGACACATATCCCTGAGGAATTAGAATAAGCAACAAAGCTGCAGTGATGACTGTCAAATTTTGAAGTGCTTCAATTCTTACAACTAACCATTCCATGGCCACATTAGAATGAAAGAATAGTGTTGCATCTGTGTCCACAAGCTTTAAGTAATTTTTGAAAAATCTTTCTAACATGTTAAATGCTCTTACTGTAACTACTCCAAGTGATGTCTCAGCTGCAAAATTCATGACTGGAGCCTTTGTGGTTCCATTGATCCTTATTAATTCCCTCGCTGAGGCTTGATAATATCCCTTTAGCGAAAAAAGAAGTTAAAAAATTGTTAGCTCGATCATTTAAGCAGGGTTGGAAATAGGAAAATCAAGAAAATTTAGATAGTGGATAAACCTGAACATATTTTGATGCAACCATTGCAGGAATAGCAACAATGAGAACTTGCCATGTTACTGAAACCATTACACCAATTGTCACCAGAGTTTCAACTGCTACGGACGCAACAAAAGTGATGGCATGAGGTATATCAAGGTCCAAAATACTTAAATCTGACGAAGCCTGCAAGGGAGAAAAAATTGATCTAGACTTTGGGCATTATCAAATAGTAATGAACAAACAGAAGGAAATTATTTAGATTTTTTTTCCGCTGGGAATGAAATCTTACTCGGGTTAAAATTCTTCCTACAGGGGTGGAGTCAAAGAACAACATAGGAGCATTGAAGATAGCTGTAGTGAAACCTGTGAAGAAGGCTGTAGAAGCCTTTAATCCAAGAAGTGCACTCAAGTAAGACCTTAGATATACGAAGGCTGCACTACCAAATGAAATTAATGCGTAAACTCCAACCAACGTGCCACTAGTTAATTTTGGAATTTCAATGGCTAAAGCAAGCCAAAGCGTTGATGCAGTCTGCAAAGCAACAAAAGCAGCTTGTGCCAACAGGATCCAACACAACATGAATGATCCCCTTGAAAATGAAATATAATCCCAGAATGGCTTCCAGCCAACATCACCAATCTCTTTTTCTTCTTCTTGTGTAAGCTGAATCCCAAGTTGACCCTTGGTAGAAATCTCCCCTTCACTTGGATTTTTAGTGAGATATAAACCTTGAGACTCTTTTGCATGAACCATAATCTCATTTTCTGAATCACTTCTGTTTTCATTATTTTGATCCAACTCATTAATTGCTTCTTTATGGGCACTCACAAGTTGTTCAAAGGCTGTTCCAGCTGTCAGGAGACTCTCATAGTTACCTGATTGAGTAACTTTTCCACCCTCCATTACCTAGAATTTGTGTTATAACCTTTCATGTTAATCATATTTTAATGTAATGTAACAGGCATCCAAATGAGATACTTTACCAGGATTTTATCAACTTCTGAGAGAAACTCCACTTGATGAGTCACTAGAATAACTGTTTTCTCTCTTAGAGCACACATGACACAGTCCTATGATTTTTTAAATGCATTTAGTTTGATTCATCAAATAGAGGACTTGAGGACAATAGTTTTATTATAATTAACAAGAGAAAAGCGATACTTTCTTACATTGAACAGAATAGCAGCAGTGTGAGCATCAACCGCACTGAAAGGGTCATCAAGGAGATAGATGTGAGCATCATTGTAGACTGCTCGAGCTAGTTGAATCCTTTGCTTTTGTCCTCCACTCATGTTAATCCCTCGCTGACCTATTTCTGTAAGATCACCATGGCTAAAATCTTTAATATCTTGATCTAAAGCACAAACTTTAATGGCATTCTCATATCTTCTTTTGTCCATTGGCTTGCCAAAGAGTATGTTATCTCTAACTGTCCCACTTTGTATCCAAGAAGTTTGAGAAACATAAGCTAGGGTGCCACCTACATTGACCTGTTTCCAGTTGTCAAGAAATTTCATGGTGAAAAGATGTTGAGTTACTATGATTATAAACAAGATTTTGGCATGCTAAAAAAACTATACTTGTTCAGTTAAAAACTCACAATTCCTGAAATCTTAGGAATCTCTCCAAGTATTGCATACAAAAGAGATGATTTTCCTGCTCCAACTGGCCCGCAAACTGCTATTTTCTGTCCCCATTTGATTTCTAAATTAACATCTGTCAAAGTTGGTGACATTGTTTCATGATCCCAAATGAAGTTGCCAGCTTGGATTTCCACTGCATTAACTGAATTTTGATTTATATGTCTTCCATTACGATCACTATCTAGCTCTTCATCAAGCAAAATGGCATTGAGACGATCAAAGGAAACCTTAACTTGGATCATAATAGACAGAGCCTCTGGGATCAGTCTAACAGGTTCTCCCAAGTTCCTCAATGTAGCAAGAACTGTGAAAATGGTCCCAGCATTCAAAGGGGCACTATTGAAAAGAGCACATCCAAGGAATACAACAGCAGAAACAATGGTAGGAGACATCCAATAAAGAAATGAGCCAGTAGCTTTCAAGATCTGTGCCTTAGAAAGCCATATGAACTCTTTAGCACGTAGGGACTCAACTAAGTTCTTGAATTTGTCCCCCCAGGACTGCAACTTAATGATTTTCATGCTATTTAGAATTTCTGAAGTTGATCTAAGACGCTCATCCTGTGCAATCATGAACTCTGCCTGACAATTTTGTAGGATCTTGGCAAATGGTACATTGAGAAGTCCAAAAATGAGAAGAGGGACTAAACCAGGAAGAGCACCAACACCTACAACACCAAAAAGGATACCAATAGACAGAGCAATCTGCAATGCACAAATCCATGTTATATGAAACCAATATGGAAATTCTCCCATTCTATATGCATCAACAGCAATGTAATTCACAATTTCACCAGTTGAGTGCCTTCTCCTTGCTGTGTTGGAAAGCTTTAGCTGTTTTTTATACACTGCCACCATAAGAGCCGATCTCATTCTCAATCCTGACCTTTTAGCATCAAAAAACATATGTCTTTGTGACAAAGAGTCAACCACTTTGGAGAGAATAAGAAAACCCACTATGGAAAGACCTTCTTTGATATTTGTATCCGTGCTATTTGAGTAGTTTACAAAAGCATAGAGTATTAAAGGAGAAGCAGTAAATGCAATGGTTCTGAGTAATCCATAAAAGGCTATTAATAGGTTCTCTTTTAAATGAGTTGTAACAACAGACCAAAGAACCAAGTTTCTGTTACTGTTCTTGCTCCTATCCCTTACAAGGCGTTCCATTGCATGCATGAAGTTTTGATAGGCTGAATCAGCTTCATCTTCACAAAGAAGAGAAGGAATATCTTCAAGAGCTAGTGGCTTTGAGTAACCTATGCAAAGTAAGGAGTTAACCCAAGAGAAAGTTAACTTGCTGAGAAAAGGAGCATGGGCCAGTCCTGTTTGTTTAGGTTCATCTTTATCGGCCAACAGAGGCTCAGATAAACTTTCTGGCACACTTTGAGTGACAAAGTAACCAAGATTTTGTAAGGCACAGAAGACAAGAAGGAAGTGCACAAGCCATTGTACAGTATCAAAAACTTCGATTGCATGCTTTTGAAACAGAATTTCAAAGTTGACAGCCGAAACTAGTACACAGGAACATGCCCACCAAACACAGTTCAGAATTTTGATCCATTTGTGCCTCTGAAAAAGCAAAGAAAGTGCCAAAGAAGTCCAAACAAATCCTCTAATAATGCAAGCTAACCAGCTCAGCTGCTTAGAGTTATCAGTTTTGGCTATGAGATTCCACAAGCCAATAATGTAAAAAGCAATGCTAATAATAGCACAACAGATAGAAACAAGGATGAAAGTCCAACTTTTTAGGGGGCTAGTACTTGTAGAATTTCTTCTGATAAAACTGATAAGCAAGGAAAAGTAGAAGACAAAGACAAAAAGTAGATTTATTCCGTCTAATGTGATCCTTTGAGAACAGAAAGAAGTGAAATCGAAATCCTTCAGACACATCCATGAGAAATCACCTGCACATACATGAAAGATAAACAATCATCAATACAAGCAACAACTCATCGTTGGAAAAATTAATAAAAAAACTTTGCATGAAAATCAATGACCAAAACCAACTTTCTAAAAGAAATGAGCTAATATATTATCTGCATGTTTGAAGGTCTGTGTTTACTGCATATAAATAAGAGCAAGAGTTATGTAATATATAGATGGTGCAGAAAAGCAATAAAATATTGTATTTTATGGCAAAAGCATATTGTTTTCCTATAAATAAGTGAACCCTTTTGCACATACTCACAAGAGAAAACAACTTGAAATTGAAGCATACCTATTGCACTCGCAAAGAAAGCCATGTTTGGAGCTTGAAACTGAATGACTCGCGTTTTTTCTCCTTCTGCAGGAGTATCAGCAGTCTCTCAGCATGAGTAGAAAATTTCTTAAAATATATATTTTGTTCTGGTCAACAAAATAGAACTCGTGAAACAACTTGTCTTTGACAATTGACACTACTTAAATAATTCAATATAAATTTTTAATAAAAAATATTTCAGTGCACATTTATGTTAATTTTTAATATAATTTTATTATCATTTTAAATTTTTTTATTTATTGACTATTATCTAACAAAATTCCTCCAACTTAATCATATTTAGCGTCACACTAAGTGCACATTCTCTTTACATGTGGAGTTTTTTTATACGAGTATTTGTCTGGAGTTATTATTATTATTATTGTACATTCATTTTTAATTCTAATAATAATGTTTTTACATTTTTTTCCCATTTTCTATCATTTTTTATCACATCATTTCTATTATTTTTATTTTTTTATTTTATATATCTCTCTTACCCACATTCATTTTACATTCATTCGTCGGCTATACAAAATTTATTAATTTTGTATTTCTATCTCCTTTGTACTACCAAATCATTCTTGATTTTTTTTTTATTTTCTCTTTACTCATTTTATATCTATTTATTTGACATGAAATAACGTGTCATCCTTTCTTTTGTTGATATTAATAACTATAATATCTTTATATTTTTTTCATTTTCAAGACCATCACATTTACTATTTTCTCTCTCCTCTTTTTCTTCTGTTTCTCTTTTTTCCCATACATTATGCACTCATTTAAGAGGCGTCAAGGAATTATTTTTCTAATATTAACTTTGATCTCTTTGGAAGAATGAAAGAAAAAGAAAACTTAAAACTTAAATTGAAAGACAATTTTAAAAAATAAATAAAGGTTTTTTCTCTCTTTTCTTTCATTTTTTAATCCAACAAAAATATTTTTTTTCATATTTTTCTCTTCTATCTAAACAAAACATAAAGTTTTGGAATTTTTTATGTATTTTTAGTTAATTTTTATAAAATAAAATACTAAATTATATACATTATTTTAAATATAAACATATTTAAGAATCTATGTACTTAATAAATAAAAAATAAATATAAAAAGTGAGAAAAATTAAAAGTTATCATTTCTATTATTTTTCCGTGGTCCAACCTATGTGACTGATGATTATGAAAGAAAGTAGACCCTTGTACTTTTTGTTTTGTCTTATTTGACAGAGGATAGATTCAAAATAAAATTACATACAAAATAATTAAAAATAAAAAATATAATTTTTGGGAAAAAAAATATCAGATAGATACAAGAAATATTTAGATGAAATAATATAGGAAAATTTGGCCATGGTAAAATTATAAAAAATAAATGATGATTGCGATGATTATGTTTTTACATGAATAAAATAGAGACAGTAGGTTGAGATATTCATGATATGCATATGGAACAGTTTATGAAAGATATAGAGTCGTGGATAAATTTGCTTTTACAAATATTCCAAATCTTGTTTGTGCAGATGATCTTAATTTAGGTTCAGTTTACTTTGGCATGGAAAATGAAATTTTGTACCATCAAAGAAAATGAATTTTTTGAACTTAAATATCACCTAATAACCTAAATCAAGAGAATGGGTAAAATTAAGAAATACAACCTTCAAATGAATTATTTTATGATCCTTTGCGATACAAAGACCATTTAATAAGCCTCAAAGTTCAACTTTAATTGGTGAACAATAACTCAGATTTGAACCAAAAGTTTATCTCTTATGAGAATGAAGAACATGTTTGATATTATCTGCATAACAAATAACTTGATCATATAAGCACACTACAAGCAAAGAACTTGATTTAATTTAAACATTTTAAAACTTAGAAAAACTAAACGTAAACAACTAAAATTAGGAGGCAAAAACCAAACATATGTTAAAGTGTAAGAATTAAAAGATCCATTAAGCCTTAAAAAATAAAAATAATACATAAATTAACTATAAAATATTTAAACAACAGAGTTATTTTCAATACATGCATTAGATCAAATGAATTATTTAAAATATAATAAAAATCTTAATAAATTATTTAATTTGAATATTTAAAAATTAAAGAAATTAAATATAAATAATTAAAATTAGGTGACCAAAATTATATATTTGAACAATTAAAAGAGACTAAATACAGGCTACTAAAACTAGAAAACTAAAATCGTATATTTAAAAAATTAAAAGAATTAAGTGTAAGCAACTAAAATTAAGCGACCAAAATTATATATATATATATATATATAAATTAAAAATACGATTAAATATTAAAAATAATATATAAATTAATTCTAAAATATTTAAATAACAGAGTTGTTTGATATCGACACATGTATCAAATGCAATGCACCCATTGTTTTCAACATGACATGGAAATTCCAGTTAACAGTATAATTTGGATGAAAAAAATAAAGCATATAAAGGGGTAAGAATTTTTATAACAAAAATGTGGTACAGAAAATAAGTAAAAATTAAAATAATTATTTCAGCTATGCTTATAAAAGATTTTCACACGATAATTTAATGAATTTTAAAATAGCTAATCACAATATATGCTTTCTATTTTCAGTTAACATTTTTAAATAAAAAATTAACCAGTCAGAATATAATAATATTTACGATAAAATTTCGTTTTTATAGTTTCAAACTATTTTTTATGCATGGCTCATATATCCGATGGTCTTATTCATGCCGAATCTTCTTTGGGAAAAGCATTATACGACAAAACAAATAATAGAACACCGAAAGATTGTTGTTTTTGTTTGGATTTGCGGATTTTACGAGGAAAGAAATTTAGGGTAATGATTCTGTCCATAAAAATATTATTATTTTTATTCCAATGTGTTGTTTTTATCTGAAAATAAAGAAAAAACAAAGGGGCTAAAAAAAATTCATGTCTCTCCTTATCAGTGAAATGAATAGTAAAAAAAAAGAAGAATTTTCTTGAGCTATTTTATCTTATATTAAGTATTAACATCCATCACACTAATTAATTGTATTCTAATTTGATAAACATTTATACATAGTCCTACACTAATTATCAGATTAATAAAATTTGTTATTAAAAATAGATAATTTTTTTAACAAGTATTTGTTACAGAAATATAATTGTATTTTTTAATGGTATTTTAGATGAGAAAGAGGTCCTAGATTCTATTATTCTGAGATCCTGAAAATGGTTATCACTTGTTAGTAAGGGAAAACCTATTATGTTAGCTGATTGGTATTTTAACATACAAAATTGCATCTGTTTTAATTTTGCATAAATATATTTTTGTTTTTTATTTCTCTGAGTAAGTAAATTTTTGTGTGTATATGAGTTTTAAATTTCTCTTAAACTCTTTTTAATAATATTTATTTTACCTATAATATAATATATATATATATATATATATATCAACCAACAAAATAGTTAAGATCCAATAAAATTGTAATATTTAAAAAAAATCATATTGTATAGTACAAGAATAATTAAATATAAATATCAAACTCAAAAATAAAATAAAATTAATGCTTATGTATCATAAAACATATTTATAGATGCATATTTTTATCTTTATGATTTTTGTATACATTTGTACTTTATATTAGTTTTACAAATTTTAAATAATTATTATAAAATTATTAATATATATATTTAAAATAGAATCAATAGTATGTAACATTTTTTTTTATAAACGCATTATTGTAATAATTGTTTGAAACCACTCTTGCACTTCACTCAAATAATAATAACAACATAATACTGACAGCTAAAATCAAGAAAAGACAGATACAACCTAATCTATTTCTTATTCAGAATTCAAAACAACAAATACAACCTAATCTATATCTTAATATATCTATAGAAGACAATTTCCATCAAATAATAAAATATTATGGACGCTTTAAATTAATAAAATCTGGTTAAAATTAATATATATTAATTAAATTACAATAAAGGAAACAATATTATTAGATATTGCAAGATTGTTGGCAATTAATTCTCCACTCTGCTTTCAATTTATTATACCTATTTCTTCCTTCATGTGATTTCTTTTTTCAATATATTTCACTGTATCTGTATCTTCACAGATAATTTGATTCTTTTAAATATTTTTCATGTATCTACAATTGTGCAATTGTACGATCTGCATTTAATATAGTACCTTCTGTTTCTAAACAAATAAGTTTATTAGTTTTCTTAAATAATAATTATGTTACAATTTTAAGATAATTATTATTTTTTTAAAATTATTTATTTATTGTAAAATAAAATTTTAAAATAGACACAAATTTATAATATTTTAGTAAAAAATAAAATAATTACATATATTTTTAATTTTTGTAACCATTTTAAATAACTATTTTTTTAGATTTATAGTACATTTAAAATTATCTGTAATAATAAATAGTCAAAATAGTAATCTATATATTAAATAAAAAATATCTATTTTATTTTTTTGTATATTTAATTATATATAATTTAAATTTAACTTTTAAAAATACATAATACAACACTGTATATTTATAAATTTGAAAGATATTTTTTACTCTTTTAAAATTAATAATTGTAATTTTTTATATTACATAATATTTATATTTTTAAAATATATTACTAATTTTTATTATTTATTGTATATATTAATACAATAAAATTAATTATTATGATTATTATTTATATTTTAATTTTCAAGTCATAGTAAAAGTTTAAAAAAAAAGTATTAATTGTCTAAAAATATGTAACTATGTCTGACTTATCTGAATGTTGGAAAGTGGCTTGGTTTCTCTTTCATGCAGTATACTTGTTGCTGTCATCGTCTACTTTCTAATGAATGGTCCTAATTTAGCCATAAGTTACATTATTTCAACATATAAGAAAAAAATTAATAAAGCTGATGTTATATATAATTATTTTTATATATGATATATATATTCAGTTTTTAAAAAATACTTTTCTATTTATTAATTAAAGTTAGATTTTTTAATAAAACATTTGTATTTTTTCAATAAAATATTTATCCCTCTATATACTGGAAACCATTTTGCAATTTATTCATGTATTATATTTTGGACTAAATTTATATGTTGTTCTTTAGATCTTATTAGTGTTGTTTGAAAATTAAAATTAGAGTTTTACCTTGTTAAAATATTTGTTCTTAATGTTATCACAGATTATTAAAATAAAACTCTAATTTTAATTGATAAACAACACCTAAGAACTGAATTTATGTTTTGAACATATATTTTTATATTTTCACTTGATCACTGGTTTGATGGAACAACTTAGGATCTAATAGTGTTATCTTATCCGTGTCCAATTAGCATAGAGGTGATTAGTGTTTTTCAGTATGGAGTCTCATAGGGAGCAACCTTTGGGATCAGAAGGTAACTATTGCAGCAAATAATAAGTTATGAGGAGATGCTAATTTTGACCCCTAACTTAGCACCTATTCTCCCTTCTAAGAAAGCAATTTTATTAAGCTTTGACAATAACATCCAGCACCATCTCCAACTTTTATCACACACACAGGTTTCAATTAAGCTCTGAAAGTCATATTTATACACATAGGTTTGATACAAAACTTTGCTCCTTGCAGAGCAACCTCGGTTTTTCAGACATATCCATGAGTGGCATAGCCATAAACCAAAGAACTTCATTTTTCTTCTTTTTACGCTTCTCTTTTTCTCTGAGGTTTGCTAACACTTATGTTACAACAATAAATAAGAAAATAAAAAAATATTAAATAAGAAAAAAACACCAATCACATTGAAATCATTAAGAAAATAATTTTTAATATATTTTAATGTGAATGAACATCTAATTAGCATTGATGTACTGTTATAAACAAGTCTCTCTAGAGCAGTTTTCCCTTTTTTGTGACTCGTAACATCACTGATTGTTATTGTTAGTTTTGAATACTCTTGTTACTAATTTTGAGAATTCAAGACATAAAATGAAAGAAGAATTTAGAAGTTAATAATAGTAGAGGTTTTCGGAACTTCAATTTACTGTTGATTTTCTTTCAACTTTGAATGTTGTAAGTAATTAACTTTGAACGCTTGTATTACAGACGAAGACTTCGTAAGATGGAATCATTCTTGCATGAGTATAATGTTTATAGGCACAACCTGTTAAAAAGTCAAAATAGTATTAAAATAACTTAAGCATAAACTTCATCATTATTTTAATACATGATGTCTGAAACTCTGTCTTATATGTGTTCATATATGAAAGAAGGCAAATACATATTCACACAAGTGTGTGAAAAGGGTAATCTAAGGCCATCAAACTGACTCAGATAAATCTTAGCCATCAGACAAATAATATGACAAGGCCAAAGACTAGGACTGACAAAGATTGCAGGTTCTGTTTCTGGCTGCATCCAATTTCACATATTGTGAAATACTTCATTGGTTATCCCTATATTTTTTACGAATGATTAAGAATCATTCTCATTTAAAATTCATGCTTGTTGGAGTATTCTGTGAATAATGAACTTCGGCACATATGATTATTCATCAAATAAAGCTTACTGAATTTTCATTTCTTTATACACACATTCTTTTTCTTTTTGTGTCTCAACTATAAAGGGATGCAAGCAACTACAAAGGCAAGCTAAGCTTAGAATTCAGACAAAGTCCGAAATTCCTTTACAAAGATTTCCTCCTGCAGCTAGACCAATATTCAGCTACAAGCTTGGAGAATGAAGAATTGGACTCCATAAGTTTTGAAGGTTCATCATACTCCACCAATTTTCCTACAATTATAACAAAAAACTCAATGGTATGAAACAAACAACTTCTTACTATTATCTTATTCAACAAGATTGGTCCCTCCTTGAACCGAGCAAACCAATTTCAAGAGAAAAAAAATTGAATTTTCTTTTTGTACACTTAAAAGAAAAGCATCTTACCATAGGAAAGAACCGTGACCATGTCACTGTCTATTACAGTTGGAACTCTATGAGCCACAGTAATAACAGTGCATTCAGAGAATTCCTGTCTGATGATTCTTTGTAAAATAGCATCTGTGGCAGAATCAATGGAAGCTGTTGCTTCATCCAGAACAAGAATTCTGTTCCTTTTCAGAAGGACTCTTCCAAGGCAAAATAATTGGCGTTGTCCCATGCTCCAATTTTCGCCTTCACTACTCACTATAAAATAAAAAAAAGAACTTTAATGAAGTTATGTATAATTGTAGCAAATCATACTGAAGAGTGAAGTCAAAAGAAACAAAATTAAATCTTGTGTAAGTTGTGTCATTAGAAACAATGAAGTACATGCTTCAGCCAATGAATTGTTGGGAGTAACAAGAGAAAGAAGATAAAAGAGAGAGAGAAAAAAATGACAAAAGAATGAACAAAGTTTTCGCATATTTCAGCCAATGAAGCAAACAGTGTATGCATATTGAAGGTTTAGAACTAGTCACACATATAATATAATAATACGAAAAAAAAAAGGAAAAATAGGCCAAGAATAGCAGATGTAGAGTTAGATTACACAACTCTAACATGAATACAGCTCACCTGATGAGTCCAGTAGATATGGTAGTCCAGTTATAGCCTCCTTGAGTTGACACATCTCTAAAACCTACAGAGTGATGAAAAGCATTAGGAACTAGTATAATGCTGATTCTGTTGAAAAGCATTAGGTTTTAGAGATGTACCCTATGTTAGTTGGCTTGCACCTATTTAAAAATGTTAAAAACTGTATTTAAAAATGAAAGAAGAAAAGTCCTTGGTAGAGTTTACCATCATACCTTCCATATTTCATCATCAGAGAATTGGTCCAGTGGGTCCAAGTTGGTTCGAATACTACCCCTGAAAAGGATTGGTTCCTGAGGGATGATGCTAAGCTTCATTCTTAAATCCTTCAGGCCTATTGAGCATATGTTAAGCCCATCAATTAGAATTGTACCACTTGTAGGCTCTACCAAACGAAACAATGCACTTAAAAGAGTTGTTTTTCCACTCCCTGTTCTTCCTACAACCCCTACTCTAGTCCCTTCTTTGAAAGTACATGTGATTCCATCCAGAACAAATGGAGTATTTGGACGATATCTAACCTGAAAATAATAATTTTTTGGTCGGTCCAAACTACCAAATTTGGAATAAAGTGAAGTGACAAACAAGGGATGGTGCAGAATTCATATTATATAATTCTTTCATTTGTTTACCTTCAAAGCTTGAAATTCTATCCTGCCTTTGGAAGGCCATGAAGGTGGTGGCCTTTTATCTTCCATTATTTTTAGAGGCTCTTGTGGTATCTGCATGAATTGTTTGATTCGTTCAACAGAGATGATGAAATTTGACAAGTTACAAGACCACTTAGTATAATACAGCAGGGTTTTTGTCAATGACAAAGAATAAGACAGAGAAAGTCCCACAAGACCTGAATACACCAGAAAAATAATCAAACATGTCAAAGTCCTATAAAAATGCCATAAATGAGAACAATGTAGAGATTAATATCATGATTTTAATGCCACCTGGAGCTATTGATCCCTTGGGAAGAAAGACAAATAGAGAAGCTGCAGTGAAAAAGATCAAATTTTGGAGTATTTCAGTTCTTGCTAGTAACCATTCCAAAGCAGCATTAGTATGCAAGAAAAGTGCAGCATCTGTGTCAACTAGACGTAGGAATGTTTGGAAGAATCTGTCCACCATATTGAAAGCTCTTATTGTGACCACTCCTGCTGATGTCTCTGTGGCATAATTCACAACTGGAGCTTTTGTTGTTCCATTAATTCTTACTAATTCCCTTGCAGAGGTTTCATAGTAGACCTTATAAAAAGGAAGGAAAAAAAATAATTGTCACTTATTTCATTTGTTTAAGTTCAAGGACAGAAGAAAAAGGAAGCTTAGAAACTGCATCAACCTTAATGTAGTTTCCTACTACTGCAACTAGAATGGCTACTATAAGAACTTCCCATGTGATTGAAGAAATAATCCCAATTCCTGTTATAAGCTCAATCCCACTTTGTACTGTAAAGATTATGGCGAAAGGTATATCAAAATCCAAAATAGCCAAATCTGATGATGCCTGCGTAGCATAAACATTGAAATTCTAAATGAGTAGCAATGGTTAAATCAAAATTTTGAAATAAAATAAACTTGAGTTTCCTAGCCTAACTGACATATAATATAACTTACTCGGGTTAAAATTCTCCCAACAGGAGTTGAGTCAAAGAATGACATGGGAGCATTGAAAATGGCAGAAGTGAAACCTGAGAAGAATGCTTTAGAAGCCTTTAATCCAAGATGAGCCATAAAAACAGCCCTCACATAAGCAAAGGTAGCACTACAAAATGCCATTGCTGTGTAAACTCCAACCAGCATGATACTGGAGATGCTTGAAATTTCACTGGCTATGGCAAGCCAATAAGATGATGCAGTCAGAAAAACAGCAAAACCTATCAGAGCTATGAAGCTCAAACACATAAGAAGCATCCCATTGGAGATTATAACGTAATCCAGGAATAGTTTCCATCCAGCACTTCCCAGTTCTCTTTGTTCTTCTTGAGTAAGTTGTTGCCCTTCAAAACTTGTCTCACATATTTCTCCATCATTGTTTTTTTTACTGGGTTCACACACATGATGCTGTTTTTCATTATTGGCTCTATCTACTTCTTGACATTCTTCTAGGCTTTGACGTATATCCAGAACAGTTATTGCATCTCTATGAGCATTCACAAGCTGCTCAAAGGTTGCCCCAGATGTTAACAGCTCCTCATGGCTTCCTGCTTGAGAAATACACCCACCCTCTATAACCTGGAAAATGCAAAGTCGTATATTTTTGTATTCATTTGAATAAGGAGTTGGCTTTTAACATTATCATGCTATGATAAATGTAGGGACATTATTAGAATAGAAATATGTCACCAGAATTTTATCAACTTCTGTCAGAAACTCCACTTGATGAGTCACTAGGATGACTGTTTTCTCTCTTAGAGCACTCATGACACAGTCCTGCAATTCAAATTTGAAGTTAAGTAGAAGGCATTAGACTAAAAGATTGTGCTACAAAAAATCTTCAGGGTGCTGTTCTTACATGGAATAGAACTGAAGCAGTATGTGCATCTACTGCACTGAAAGGGTCATCAAGAAGATATAAATCAGCATCATTATAGACAGCACGCGCAAGTTGAACTCTTTGCTTCTGTCCTCCACTCAAGTTAAGCCCTCTCTGGCCTATTTCTGTAAGATCACCATGGCTGAAGCCATTTATATCCTTGTCCAAGGCACATGCTTTAATGGCATTCTCATATCTATTTTCTTCCATTGATTTTCCGAAGAGTATGTTGTCCCGAATTGTTCCACTCTGAATCCAGGAAGTTTGAGAAACATAGGCTACTGCTCCATTCAAACTAACCTGATGGCAATCAAAGCAAATAACAAACGATAAAACTTAGGTCCAGTTACTTAAGTGCTATTGATATTGTTTACCGATCAAATTAGTTTTACCTTAGTAAGGTGCAATAACATTAAATCCATATTAAAGTAAATCTTTAAATGTATATTAATTGGTAAATAGCACTAAAATCACCTGAAGAACAGTACATAAGTTTTGTCCGGTAACAAAATATAGAAATAGAATTAATCAAACAAACTGCATTAAAACTAGTTTTTTTTAAAATTTATAACTCACAGTTCCAGAAATTTTTGGCATCTCTCCAAGGATAGCATGCAATAAAGAAGACTTTCCAGCTCCAACTGGTCCACAAACTGCTACTTTTTGTCCCCGACTTATGCTTAAATTGATGTCTCTCAAGGTCAAGGTCACTAATTCTTCATCCCAACTGAAATTACCTGCCTCTATTTCAATGCAATTATCTGATTTTGAAATTGAAATGCTCCCTTTTTCACGAGTTTTGAGTTCATCATCAAGGAGAAAAGTGTTAAGCCTATCCAAAGAAACTCCAACTTGTGCAACAACAGAAATAGCCTCAGGTATGAATCTAACGGGTTCAGCCATGGTTCTCAATGCGGCAAGAACTGTGAATATAGTTACAGCATTTAGTGGAGCAGTCTTAAAGAGGGTGCATCCTAATAACACTACTGCGCAAATAACTGTTGGAGAAAGGACAAACACTACAGTTCCAAAAGCCCTTGTGAACTGCGTCTCAGCCAACCATTTGAACTCACTATCACGAAGTGACTCAACCATGCTCATAAATTTATCCTCCCATGATTGTAATTTAATAATTTTGATACTATTCAGGATCTCTGAAGTTGACCTGAGTCGCTGATCTTGTGAAATCAGGATTTGTGACTGACAATTTTTAATCTTCTTCGAATATGGAAGATTGAAGAAGAATGCAAATATGAGAAGAATAACTAATGCTGGAAGAGCTCCAAGTCCCACAACCCAAAAAAGCACCACAATGGATAAGAAAATTTGCAATGTAAGGCTCCATCCAGTGTGGAACCACCACAAAAATTCTCCCATCCTGTAGGCATCAACTGCTATGTAATTCACAATCTCCCCAGTTGAGTGCCTTCTCCTTCCCAAGCTTGAAAGCCTCAACAGCTTATCATACACAGCCACCATTAGTGCTAACCTCATTCTCATACCTGATCTCCTTGAGTCAAAGTACCAGTGCCTCTCACACACTGACTCCACCAATTTGGCAAGAACCAGCCACCCCAATATAGCAAGACCCTCACACAAGTTATCTTCACTGCGACTTGCATAGTTTACAAAGGCATATACTATCAAAGGTGAAAGAGCTGCAGAAATAGACTTAGCTAATGCATTAATTGATATGCATATATTCTCTTTCGTAAAGACTCTTAACATGGTCCAGATAACCTGATTCTTGGGACTGTTTGAACCATTCTCACTTAAGAAGGAATCCCATGTGTGAGCAAACTTTTGGAAAGAGAAATTAGCTTTGTCTTCACAAGGTAGAGAAGGGATGTCTTTAAGAGCTAATGGCTTTTTATAACCCAAAGAGAGTAAAGGATTAATCCAAGAAAATGTGAATCTGCTAAAACAATTGGCCTGGCTTAATCCTGTCTGGCTTGTTTCTACCTTTTCAGTTTCACACAACAATGGTTCAAACATTGTGTTACTCTGGGATTGTTTTGAAATAAAGTAACCATGGTTTCTTAAAGCACAAAAGAGAAGAAGGAAGCTTACAAGCCAAGGCAACAAATTAAACACAGGAATAGTGTGTACTCTCAGAAGAATTTCAATATTCATAGCAGAAAGCAATGCACATAGGCACACCCACCAAACAGTGTTTAGACATATGATACTTTTGCTCCTTTGAGTGAGCAAAGAAACTGCAAGAGAGGTCCAAACTAGTCCCTTAATAGTACTTGCAACCCAACTTAAATAATCTGATTTTTCATTTTGATCAATGAAATTATACAAAAGATTGATAAAGTACATCATGCTAGTAATAAAACAGCAGATTGATGCTACCACCAAAACACGATCCTTTCTGCTGATACCACTTGCATGGTGTTTTCTACCTAAGCCTATCAGCATAAGTAGGTAGAAAACACACATGAACAACAGATTTATTCCATCAATTATGCTTCTTTGAATGCAGAAAGAAGCCAAAGTAAATTTCCCTTCACAAATCCATGAAAGTCCACCTGCATTTCCATTGATGGTATTTAAGTTATCAAAATCACAAATACTAATGATACATATACAAACATATGGAAGTTACTCTTGCAAACAGTGAGGAGGAATTTGGTTTTAGAACAAAACTTGAATATTAATACCCTTGCATTCTTTTACTACGAAAGAAAATTAAAGTTGCTAAATATATCTGTTTATATAAAATGAGCCATGAATGCACAAATAAAACATTATTTATTCTGAAAGTATAGAAGCATGCATTCCTTAATTGTGCCATTAACATTATAACCTTTTTTTCCATCCCATGACAATCAAATAGTATGCTTTTAATTAACCTGATATATCTTGCACAACATATATATTATGAATTATAATTTATAATCCACTATGATTTGCTCAAGTAAATAAAAGTATCCAAAGACAAAAGTATACCCAGTGAGCTCCAAAAGTAAGCCATTGCTGAAGAAACTTCAATAATTCACTTATGCTACTTCTTTGCTGTGAAGCTTGGTCCTCAGGTTCGTCTTATATAAACGAGGTTGCTACACTGATGCTACTTCAATGATGTCGCCAGAGAGGTTGGTACCTGTCTTTGTAATTAAAAATACAATTTTTTTTTTGGGGGGTTACATATGAATGATATAGTTGAAAATTACCATAAAAACAATTTGTATTAATTGAAATCCTTTTTTAAAAAAATTTGAAGAAAAATCCTTGTAACTTTTTATATTTTATTTTTATTTTTATTGTCAATAAAATAATTTTCTATCATTCAAACCAATCTCCCTCAAGATATTTTTTAAATTTTAAAATTTTGCATTTAACTTATACAACAAATCTATCTATCTATCCATCCATCCAAAGGAGACCTTCCGCATGTTAGTTAAGACCATTTGCTTTTGCCAAAAACTAAGGTACCGTACAACTTTTTTCAAGTTTAAAAAAAATTATGTTGTACAGTAAAATAATGAAAATAAATAAATTTTAACACCAAAAAATAATAATTTGTTCTATTCAAATTAATAAATTTATAGTATAAACTATGATATATTTTATTTTAAGTAAATATTTTTTATTTTTGTTTTAAAATATGAAATTATCATAACATATCTATAATTATTTTTATAAATTATTTAAATTTAAAAAATAAACTCTTTTTTAATCTTTTTAGTCATCTATCCAAATTTGTAAGTTATTGTACAAATGACATCAAATGAAGTTTTAAATCGTGAGTAAGTTATAAGATGGTAAAGGGCTTACAAAATGAGATTAAAAGCCTTAATTAACTTATTAAGTATAATTACAACATATAAATAATATAGTGAAATAATATTTGTAGTAATATAGTGAAATAATATTTGTAGTATAAGAGATAAAACATTAAGAGCATGTTTGATTTCTTTTTTAAAAAAAATTGTTTTTAAAAATAAAATATAATACAAATTTATACTATATTTTATTTTTAAAAAAAGAAAATTATTTTTAAAGAGGAAATATGGTTATGCAATTGATTTAAGAGCTAATATCAGCTATATTTAAGAAGAATTAATACTTATAAAACATAATGAAAAAGCAAACAAAGGAGGAAAAGTAAATGAAAGTAGAAGAAAGTCAAAATCTACCCAATGAGCTCCAAAAGCCTGTCACTGATGAAGAAACTTCATCCATTCTCTTATGTTGTTAATTCCTTTGCTACACAGCTTGATCCTCATGGTCCTCGTGGTCATATTATATAAACAAAATCATTTTTTAAATACTTTATAATTAAAAAAAATCAAATTCCTTGTATTTTTATATTTTAATTTAATTTTTATTGTTAATAAATTAATTTTCTATCAATCAAATCAATCTTCCTTCTGATATTTTTAAATTTTTGCATTTGATTTATACAAAAGAGACCTTCCAGATGTGTTAATCAGCTATGACCATTTCTCTGCCTCTCCTCTTCTAAATATTGGACCATTTACTTTTGCCAAAAGAAAATTATTATTATCCAAGGTACCGTACAACTTTTTTGAAGCAAAAATTTGTTGTCTAATAAAATAATGAAAAATAAATAAAATTTAACACCAAAATGTAATGAAATTTGAATAAAATATGATATATTTTATTTCCGAATATTGATATTTGTAAAGCATGGTTAATAATATATTTTGAACATTCTCGTGTGATATATTGCTATAATTTAATAATGATTGTTGAAGGAAATTCAAACCCATTTTACCCTTAAAATTATAGGATAGAAAAATAAAAGATTCAACAATGACACTCATAAACTTGAAACATAGCAATGATAAAGGAAAATATTTTCATATTTCCTTTTCTGCAAGGTTGGAACAAGAGATAAGTGTGAGCAGATTATAAACTTGAAACAGATGAGCAGATTAAAAGTCTTAAACAAGAAATTCAAATATTAAAGCAAAGTGACATCCCTCTAAAATATAGATTACTGAAATTAGAAGATTAAAAATATATAATTCAAGATAAAAATGACAGACAACAAATTAATGAAGTCACTTTTATTGATTTATTAAGTATAATTACATCATATAAATGACATTGTGAAGTAACCTTTGTTGTATAAGATGAAATATTTAATATGGTCACTCTAATTGATTTAGGAGCCAATACCAATTATGTTTAACAAAGATTAATACCTATAAAATATTATAAAAAAATCAATCGAAGGAGTTAGCAATATAAATAGCTCTCAAACGAGTATTCAATATAAATTATCAGATGATGAAATAAATAAAAATAAGCTATAGAATATCATTTGTATTCACAAAAAAGTATAAAGTTGTAATTAATTTCAGCAACACCCTTCCTAATATTACTCTGTCCTTTGTATCTGGGAAGGATTAGTATTAGAGACACTTAAAAATCATGTATATTTGTATTCTATTAAACCCACAACAAGAAGCCTTGATAAACAAGGGAAATTTAATTGAATGAAAAAAAAAGGCACATAAATATGTTAAATTAAAAAAGTACAACATAAAATTGTATTAAAAACAAATAAAAATTGATCAAAAAAACTTTAAGAAAAAAGTGGTAAAAGCATTTTGTGAAACAAATCCCATAGCTTTTTTAAGTTAAGAACTATATGAGGCTTTGTTACCGTTCAAAAAAGGATAGAGTAAAAAATATATTTCAAACAAAGTTAAATTAATACAAATGAATGAATAATATTTAATATTATCAAAACATACAAAAATATTTAGACAAAGGTTAATTAGACCATTAAAATTTTCTTACAATTGTTGAGAGTTTTATGATATGAATGTTTAGCACATATCATTTAGTTCTACTTAGTTTTTAATATAGCAAACAAAAGTCTCATCTACTTGTCTTACCTACTTTCCATAAACGTACGTTGAACAACCTAACAAGTTAATTTTATCCTCATAAGTTACATTCTACTTATGTCTCTATTAATTATTGCAAATTAACAAGTTTTATCTTGATTTGTTCAAATATATTTAAATTATATATTATTCTATGATAGATTGAGCATTCTTAATCTTTGTTAATTATTTAGATGTTTGACAGCTTCTAAGTTTGGTGGTTCCAATAGTAAAACCCAAAAGAGGTAATAGCAACTTTAAGAAAGATTAAAAGTGGTTAGTCTATTAATAACTTTAAGTGATTTAAATTTCAAAAGAAATAACAATATTTTAATAAGACTATCTTCTCAAAATGCTCCTTCAACTTCCCAAAATCAAGAAAAACAAATCATAGAACTAAGAATAAAAATATAGTTATCATGTTTTGATTTTCATATTGTGAATATCAAAAAGGAGACAAAAATGTTTTATCCAAATTTTTTATTAGAGGAGTTTTTACCGTTATTTAAATATTCTTGATGTTGTTTGTCAATGATTTTTTAATTTTACCTTAATATTTTATTATAATATGAAATGTAAAAAAAATATAAAAAATAAAGTCATATTTTCAGATGTATTAAGAAGAAAATTTAAGGACTGTCTGTAAATATTATTAATGTTATTTCTTTATTAAAATTACATTTTTATTTTAACAAAATAATTATATTCAATGTTATTCAAATTATCAAAAGTGCTATTCTAATTTTGAATGATAAATAATCTAAATTTTATCTATTTATTAATTTTTTAGATGGACAAAATTTAAAAATATAAAGTTATAAATATTATTTTTAATCAAAATTAAAATTTTATCTTAATAATACATATAATAAAAATTAGCATTAAATCTCAACCCATGTTATTAAGTTAAAACTTTAATTTTGATTAAAGAATAACATAAATAATACTTATAATATTGCACCTAAATTTTTGTTCTTTTTAAAAAATTATATCTTTATTTAGTATGAAATTTATATTATTAAGAAACTAACTTGTTATACATATAAACAAATATATTTATTCATTTAATGTACGAATTATTAATTAATTATTTTTTTACTAATATGAATACTTTTTAAATTTATTATATGTGACTGTTTTTATTAATCTTTAAGAATTATTTATTTATTTTGAAAAATTGATTAAAAAAATTATAAGAAACTCTTATTCCACGTAGCACCAAAAATCTCGAGAAAGCAAATATTTGATTCGTTAATTACATAAATTCATTGAATTGGTTTTAAATATTTAAAATATTTAATTAAAAATGTTTATTAAATTTTTAATATTATAAATTTTAAAAAAATATATATGACTTTAAATTCTTTAAAATCAATCATTAAAAATAGGTTAACTAATAAAATCACGTGTTTGTTATGAACAACGAGTGATAAAAGTAGGAGGACCATTTACGATTTAAATAAAAAAAAATGCCCATCTAAAAGCATCTTTCATTTTTGTAAAGGGTATCTTAATTACCGTTCCAACGAACAATTTAGCTTTTTTTTAATTATGTAATTATTATTTTTATGTAAAAAAAATATTAAATACACTTACTTAATATATTAAATTGTTTTAAAATGTTAAATTTATTTTATAATTCTTAATTTCTTATCTGATGACTCATGTTACAATTATATTATGCGTTTGACTGATATATCTAATTATAAGAAATAATTATTTTCTCTATTTATTTTTATAACTAATGAAAAACGTGAAATATTTCTCAAATCAAACAACTCTTAAAAATTTTTATATATTTTTTTAAAGTTAAAAAAAAGAGTTTAAGGAATAAGGAAAGAGAAAGAAAGTCAAAGAAAAAATTTAATAAAAAAATTCAATTTGAAAAAACTTACAAAACATAAGATTAAAAGAACTTCAGAAGGTCTATAAAAAAACTCTTTTCACATTTATAAATTCTTAAACAAAAGTTTTTGCCAAATAAATCTTTAACTCTCTTTTTTTCTCTTAAATTTAATTTCTAAACAAAGCCAATATATATATATATATATATATAAAATTTAAAAATTAAATCTCAGATTTTCGAATCAAAATACCTTATAAATTTAATCCACTTCAATCTAACAATAAACAAGCCCTTATTTTAAGAGTAAAAGGGCCTCCTA